ACACATATATACCTATATATATACATACATACATACATACATACATACATACATACGTAGGTAAAACCTGGCTAGAAAGAATATGCACATAAAAGCCTACGAAAAAGAAAAAGACATACATACATACATATATACACACATAGACATACACTATTAATATACATACACACACACATACATATATACGCACATACATAGAACATACATAGACACACACACACACAACGCACACACGGACGAGTCAGATGTTGAAAAAGGTTTATTTAATTTTGTTTTGCATAAAATGAGCCCCCGTTGAAATAATTACAGGCAGGCAAAGAAAGAAATAACCGGCGGCCTTTCCTGCCTTAAAGAGGCAAAATCTCCTCTGAGGCTGGAAGTTCGCCCCACCCCCACAGCCCAGCCCCGCTCAGGCGGCCTCCCCTCCCGACAGGCGAAGCGGCCCTTCCCGGCCCGCCCGGGGCTCCGGAGCGCTTCCCCCCGCCTCACCTTTGTTCTTCTGGGTCCGGGCGATCTCCTTCTCGATCTCCGCGATCTTCTCCAGGATCCCCATCGTGGCGAGTCGGTCGGACCGGGATTAGGGATGGGGCTGCCCCGGAAGTAGTTTCCGGGCAGGTCCGCCTCGCTAAGCCTTCCGACCGGAAACCCGACCGGCGATGTTTCGTTCCGCCCCTGTCCGGGAGACCTGGACTGGCAAGGGAGGCCGCCCCAAAGCCAAGCCAAGACAACTGTTATACATAAGGCTTACACAATTATTTTTGCTTTGGTTTGGTTGTGTCCAACCTTCGCAACTTTAACACTGGTGGACTTCAACTCCCAGAATTCCCCATCCTGCAGCATGGCTGACTGGAGAATTCTGGGAGTTGAAGAGCACTGATCTTAAAAGTTGCCAAGGCTGGGCACTCCTAATACAGTGGACGGTCAGCGGGCACAAATTTAACGTATTATTTAACACATATATTAAAAATATTATTTAGCCCATATATTAAAACATTATTAAATCTGTACACAGCTCAGAATCACTTAAGTTGAGCTATGAATCACTTAAGTTGAGCTATGTACACGTTTCAATAATAGAAAGGCATCGGCCCAAGTCTTTTCGTCCTATCCCCATTCCCAAGACTTAAGGGTCACTTCGGTCCTCTTTTCATTATTGACATATTGGCTTCTAAATATTTGCTGCTTCTTGGATGTCTACAACCCCCAAGGACAAATGAAGAAGGTTCTTTAGTTGATGGGGGGGATGGGGACAGTAAGGCTGTCAGAGCTGCGAACGAAGACTTGCTCCCAGCTAGTGGCTAAAGGTTGGCTAGTGCAACAATACTACAAAACACATATTGCAAATATTATAAAGCCCATTCTACATGGCCCCCCAAGACCAAATGAGAGTTAGGAGGGCTCCTAGGCAAAGGGCAGAGGGAAAATATAGCATCAGTGGCCAGGTCAAACACAAAATATGTTTTCAAACTGCTGATCTTATTTCAATCATCCAGATATCCAGTATGCAAAGCAGCTATCATACCATCTTGCAAAAAATTAGCCTTTGATTAATGTTTCTAGTTCTTTGAAGTAATGAAGCAGGAATGTGAAATTTTGACAAGCACAAAAGGAACATCAAGGATGCTGGCCCAATTTTATTCATATGCCCAGACATCCAGGAGTTGCTTTCCCCCCAAAAAAGTTTGCCAAAGATGTGAATATTGTCCATGCCTTTTGGAAAATATCAACTTGCTTAAGAAGCCTATGAGCCTAATTCAGCTGGACAATCTGTGATAGACGAATAAAATAAGGAAAACAGCACACATGGATGCTTTTTAAATACACATTCTTTTATTTGGGACACTGATAACTCTGGAAGAAAAAAACCCCACAGTCTCTTTTCTGCAATTCATCTATAAATACTCTTTAATACTGTGATTTAAGTTTATAACATCCTTTCCATACATTTTGGAAGATCCCATCCTTTTGACAAGCGTCGTCCTGTTTTCTCAACAAATCCAGAGGCAACAGCTTTTCAGTTTAATGGAGACATAGAGAATTAAAGACAAGCCTTGAAGTGGGGGGGAGCTATTTTAAAAAGAAAAGTTGCTTCCCCCACACCAACTTAATTCCCGCCTATTTAATCTCAAGCACAAGCATCAATATCACATCAATGGCTTAAATAGACTGGAAATCTTGCTCCCTCCAACCTGATATTGCCTTGCTTATTCCAAGTTATTAAAATCTCCTGAATGGAGGGTAGAAATCTGATAAATTCCTGCTATGAAATATTCCATCTGCTTAATAACAAACCTCGGGAAGCAGCCCAGGGTTAGCGCAAAGGCCCCTGGCGTTTTCAGTGGCTAGAGTGAGAAGTACATTTTCCAACATTTGAGAGATTAGGTTCCAGAAAAAACCACCCCTGAGGTTGGAGGTGATTATAGATGAGTTAAATTAACTTTAAGCCTGGTTGAAGGCCTGCCACATTCCCTTCTACCAACGCCTGGCACAAGTTGGATTTCACTCCCTCTTAAATGAAAAACCGTTTTCACATAAATCATGGAAGTCTATGCCTGAAAGGACATTATCTCAAAACTCTCCATGGCATCTGAAACTAAACATCTCATCCACAATCAGGACAGTATCATCCCAATGATTTGTGGTCATATTTCCCCCCCCCCAAGGGGAAAAAAATAAGATGCCCAAGAAGGAACAGCGACCAAGAGTTTCCCCTGCAATATTTCTCAATCTGGGACAATGTGGACAGGACTTGCCTCACTTTCACTTTCTTCTTGTATGTTACAGGGGAAGTGCTGAAATATAGAGACAACTTATCGCCCTTTCTGTAAATTCTCAATTTTTCTCTGGCCAGCGCTTTCAAGGTCACTTCTACCATAAAAGTTTAATTCTTTTTAAGTTTTGCTGTTAAGCATCACTGGCTGGAGGCGGCCCTGGAAAACCCTTTAACCTGAAGGAAGCATCATCTTCTCCTGGCAAGCTATGACCCTTCCCATGCTTCAAAGGTTACAGGCAAGTTGTAACTCACACCTCTTTGGGAATTCTGCAGGATGCTCCTGACCTTCTGTGGCTGGGCGTGAATATATTGCACTCAGGCTAAATGGGTTTCCTGCATGGTTGATGGGAATGCTTGGTTTGAACACTCCTGTCCAGTTAAAACAAAACCTGTCCAGTTAAAACAATTAGGCCCTGCAAATGAAAACCCCAGCGCTCATTAATTCGCAACTTGGTTTACACTGGGGGTGTCCAACCTTGGCAACTTGGACTTCATCTCTCAGAATTCCCCAGCATGGCTGGCTGGGGAATTCTGGGAGTTGATGTCCACAGGTCTGAAACTTGCCAAGGTTGGACATCTCTGGTTTACACTGTGGCAAAGGGAAGCAAAGAGCCCATCTTAAAATGCACAGCTACCTTGTGCTAAAGGATGCAGGATAGTGTAGACCGGAGGTCATTCTTTTAAAGAGTCTATGTCTTAACAAGCCAAATTCTGAAATTTAAAAAAACAAAACAAAACAGCAGGATTCTGCAATCCACATGTCAAATGAGCCAGCCTGCACATTTATCTTCTTTTGCATCGTTTATTCCATCTTTGCTCGCTGTCGGTAAGAACAAAGAGCTACATAGAAGAACGCTGCCCCAACCTACAACTTTCAAGTCCTTTTTTTCCAGTGCTCTTTCGCAAGCGACGCTTTTTGACACACACACACACACACACACACACACCGCCTCCCATCATCCCAGGAAGCTAAAACCATTCCATACTTTAAGAGCTCAACCTGTGGTATTTATTCCATTCCTCTCCCCAAGACCATGGCCCACACAGTGCTGGAGACAGAGGGAAATTCTTCCTCCACCCCAACTGCCTGCCCATGTTTGAAAATCAAGCCCCTGTGAATGCTTCTGATCCTGCCACGCAGGAAGGCCGAGCCCCAAAGAGAACACAACCACAACCTATCATCTTTGGCCACTGGGGACATTGTGTCCCTGTCCATTGCCAAACTCTGCAAAGTCCAAGGCACCTGCGGAAGCAGATAGGAGGAGGGCAGTGGAGCGGATTCTAAGCCATTTGAAGAAAGCAAGCAAGCAAGCAAGCACAGCATGCCCGGCTCACGAGCTGCATCATGTTCCTGCTCTGAAAACTCGAGTGGCAGAGCAGTTCCCATCCACCCCCAACAACGATGTGGAGATGCAGAAGCCTCGCGAGGCCGTATGAAACAGGACAGCCACTCTTACACGACCCCACATGCATAAAGTTTGGCACAGAAGCCTTAAGTCACTGAACGTTTCAAAGTCTTGGGAGACCAGTTTATTCGGGGAGGGGACGAGGATGTTTTAATTTTTTTTGGTCTGATAAAAGTCCTAGCAAGCATCCATCGTTTTCTGCAGCGTAAACCGGGTGCACACGTCAGAAGCGTCATTTGCATACCGCTGCCAAGCGCTTCCTTCGTGATGAGTAGGTGGCAGCACAGCGAGTTAATTACAGAGAGCTCACCACCATCCACCAGGATGCGAGCTGGTGAGCTTGCACTCATTTTCACTGGGAGGAGAGAAAAAATAATAATAAAAAAAGCAGCCATTGTAAAATATCGTGAAGAATAATTTGTGCACGTTACCACACAAGTCTTTGAGCCAGTGGTGAGGAAGGGGGCCATAAAAACACCTCTCTTTCAAGAAGTCCTTAAACATTTTCCATTTAATGTTGCGAATTCTGCACCAGCATAATTAGCTTTCCCGCCACTGCAGGTTGCTTTAAGCTCGCGCTGCTGGAACTGACTAACATTCCTGAGAAAGTTGAGCCTTGTAAACCAACAGGAGCAGATTATTCATCCCACCCCCAGCCAGGCCCTCCTTCCTTCGGCCAACTGCTTCCTTAGCAAACACTGCAGTTGTGGGCCAGACACACCAACCTCAAGTAGCGCTTAGACCAGACAGGAACCCACCCCCCCCACCTGTTCTGGAAGAACCCCTACACGGAGCCAAGGAGGAAGCAACATAAGCAGGAAGCAACTTATGTTCTCTTCTATTCCAAGGAGATCTGGGGAGACGCGGGCGTTTCCTCCCCCCAAAAGGAGCGGAGGGAAAGGATTGTCAGCGATCTCGAGGCGAGCTCTGTAAGAAAAGGGCATTGACCGGTAGCTCTGAGATCCGGCTCTGGGATCAGGTTGGCCACGCAGCTGGAAGAAGGATCAGGCTCCGGCAGTCCCGTGGATTCCCCTTCGTGCTTTCAGATCGGTCCAGATGCCCGTAAGAGGGGAGCCTGGTGTCTTCTGTCCTGACTGAGACATCCCCGTTGTCTGAATAGAAGATGCGCCCTCGCGCTCGCCTCCTCTCTCCCCACCCCCCGGCCTCACTGGCCATCTCTTAGTGAAGCTCTTGGCATCCCTGTCACCGGAATTCGTAAATGGGCGCGCTGTACTCAGGGACGTGAGTCAGATTCAGAGATTGATACCTGGGGGAGCAAGGAAAAGAGGTTGAGCAGAGCAAATGTGGCCGATTCTGCAGCATGGCAGCAGGTTTCCAAGGCTGCAGTCTCACTGCATCAGAGCGCCGCGGTGCTGCAGTGGTTAGAATGCAGTATTGCAGGTTGATTCTGCCGACTGCCAGCAGTTCGATTATCACCGGCTCAAGGTTGACTCAGCATTGCATCTGTCCGAGGTCGGTAAAATGAGGACCCAGATTGTTGGGGATAATAGGCTGATTCTGTAAACTGCTTAGAGAGGGCTGTGAAGCACTGTGAAGCAATATATAAATCTGTGCTATGGCTATCAGGTTATGGGCCCAGATGGACTATTGGTCTCGGCCGTGATGTGATCTGGACCCGCCAGGTGGACAAAATAAATTCCTTTGGGTCTCAATACATTAGACACTCAATCACAATCAAACATGCGGGATGGTGTCTCTACAATTTGGCTTTGGGCGAGGAAGGGTTCAATTTCCCATCATCCCCCATCTTACCATTCTGAACTCCTGTGATAGTAATAGCCCTCTATACATGCTGCAGACTTCTGAAAGCATATGTAATAAAATCCAGCGAAGGATGCCCCGCTGATGTCTTTAATGGTGTGATCTGGGACTAGGAACTGCTCCTGCACAAAAATTAAACACGTAAAGACTGGGAAAGCTCGAAGTGTGATTTTCTTTATCTAAAAGGTGATCTTTTAAGGGAATTAAAATTCTTTTCATATACTGTTATACATGAAATAAACATGTTGGACCAAATGTGTTTGGAACAGTGTTTCTAAACCTTGGCAATTTTAAGATCCGTGGACTTCAATTCCCAGTATTTCCCAGCTAGCATGAGGAACTCCCAATTTTGGGAGTTGAAGTCTTAAAGCTGCTAAGGTTGAGAAACACTGCTCTACAGATGGCTACGAGGAGCAAATAAAAGTAATTTTACTTTTCTTAAGATTAAGGGGAAGGGAAAGTGCAGGATCTTTAAATCCAAGTTTAGCCCCTTACCACTCCTAAGGCACCCTTTGGAACTGTGCTCAAGCAACTTACTTTCCACCTCATGAAGACAAAGTCATCATTTTTCAGATCCTCATAATCAAAATCATCAGAGTTAAATATTTTTGCAAACTGGTAAAATGCTGGGAACTTTCCCTAGGAGAAAAGGGGAGACACACATCACTGATGCCCTTGACATTCGTGGCCCCATTTAAGACCACACACACTCCAAAACAAACATTATCTCAAGTTCTCACTCAGTTGGGACACCCAAGAAATGCTCCTTGCATGGAAAGCTATTAAATCAGGGAGAATCCTCCACGAATCCTTTCCTTACAACACCTCCAGTGTAAAATAGCTCTTGCCTCTCTCAGTCCCCATCCACAGGCAGGGGATCCCAGTCTGGGTAAAATCAAGGGCAAGGGACTCACCCAATGTTTACGATCCACGTCTTCATCTGCATCCCATTTCCGGGTTAAAAACGGATGCTTTTTACTGATTATTTCTCCTTCAAAGAAAGTAGTAAGTGTTGGATACTCCTAGGAGTGAAGGAGTGAGACAGGGACATGATGAACATACAGAAGAAATCCAGCATTATTTCCCCCCCTCTATTTTCCTAAAGCATTGCGATTGGGCATTGAAGAACACCTCCAGAAAGACAGAGTCTGTTCCAGACACATACCTCAGTAAGGCCTTTTATCTTTAAGTATCCACAGAGATAGGAGTTATCCATGTCAACATGCTGGAAGACAAAAGGAAAAGATATCCCAAAAGATCAGGGCTTAAGGCTGGAGCAAACAGATCAAACCACATAGAGAATCTTTCTCTGCAACTGTGAAAACAAGCATGACGCCCTGAGGTTCAATTAAAATGGGAGTAAAACCAGATTAACACCCCTTCTCTCTTCTTCTGCTACATTTGCTGAAAGTCCTTAGAATTCTCATTCTTCTGAAAAGTCAATGTTAATTATGCTAATGATGCTGACTGCCAGGAGTTCGATTCTCACTGGCTCAAGGTTGACTCAGCCTTCCATCCTTCTGAGGTGGATAAAATGAGGAGCCAAATTGTTGGGGGCAAGAGGCTGACTCTGTAAACCTCTTAGGGAGGGCTGTAAAGCACTGTGAAGCGGTATATAAGTCTAAGTGCTGTGGCTATTTCAAGAAGCTACAACAACATTGAAAGCAACCTTGTTCCCCCAACTCCTGAACCACTTTTTGACCATTGATCAAGACAGTTCAGGAAGAGAAAAGAACCAGAAAAAGCCCATGGATGCATTCCTTGTTCTTCCATCTAGCCTGCAACTCTCCTTGCCTCAAGTTTCCTCATTCTCCTGAGTTCCAGCCCCTTCTGGCAAAGAGAAAAGCCCCATTAGGTTCCCCTTTGCTGTTTCTGGCCTCCTTGGCTCAAGCACTTATGCAACTCCCAGGCCTCAACCTTTCCATGTATCAAGGTGGGCTTGAAAACAAAGCCCCCAGATTCACCAGTCTGCTTCGTCTGCTTAGAAAAAACTTGAGAGAAGAGTTTGGAAAAGAAAATACAGCCCAACCTTCTCTTTCATTTCTAAGGTCTACTTTTGTAGGGTCACCTGGAAAAAATGTTGCCAGGTAGTCAAATACAGCTCAGGAAGCAAAAGCAGAACAATGACCAGCGGATGCTATTCAGGGCTCCTGACCTTTACGGCGAAGGCACCGTTTTGTCTGGGCTTTGTGGGGGCAAGTCAGATTACAGCGGAAACAATGCAGGCTGGGTCTAAAAATTGCCTGGAGGTTGGATGGAAATTGCCAAAGAACACCTGAGTCTCTAACGTTTCATTTCCAAGATTAGCCAACCAGAAGGCCACGGTTTGCTCTCCTTTGGGGTCTGACAGCCAGGACATAATCTTGTGGAAATAGGTTCCCAAGGCATCAACGGAAGGTATCACATCCAAAGAGACCTCTGAAATTACTAACAAACCTATTTTGCTGACATAAAGGTGCGTTGAAGGCTACCACAACTTCCCAAACGCCAGCCCTGAGAGCAGCAGAAAGATCTCAAGCCCTGAAACATCTACAACTCCAGGAGCAGGCAAATAAATGCCTTTCTTCCCCAAAAGGTGTCTCAGCTACTGAGCCCCAGGTGCTCAAGTCACCGTTAAGCCAGGATGAAACCCACTGAAAACACAAGCCTCCCACAGCTCTGGTCTTTCTTTCTCGGCGGGATGCCTTGCCAGCCTTATTTATTTACTTTATTTCACCGATAGGACTTCTACAGCCTCCTCTCTTCATGCAACGGTCCTAGGGAGCTCACAACCATCCCCTGCGACAAGGATTTCTTTTTTCTTTTTAAAAAAAGCATTGTTGTATCTCCCCTCCTGTTGCCAGACCGATCATCCTCCCAGCTCAACCTCCATCCTAGTTCAAAGACCTGGGGGAAGAGTCAGGTTTTCATGGCTCCTCTCCAGAAGGCTTAGAGGGGAGGGGCCCCTTGGATCTCTGGGCTGCCCCAAAAGGCTGGGGTGGGGGATGGGGACACGGAAACTGAGAAGAGGCGCTTCTAAGGTCCCATCAGGCAGCAGGTTTCCAGGCAGGGGATCTGGAGCCTCCCCATCGGAGCTAGCAGGACCCCCACCCCTCCCCCCTTCTGCACCTGCCAGTTTGACAGAAGGACTCTTGGGGCACATCTGGGTGCCTGTGTGGGGGGGAAAGTCCTTAGGGAACCAAATCCCAGGGACTCCCTGCACGGCCAGACATGCTTTGCTCTCCCCATGCAGCCCCCCCCCCAAACTTTGGGCCTCTTTGCAGCCCAGGTGCTCTTGCAAATCCCCGCAAATATTTTGGGAGTGGTGGGGAGGGGGAAGATGCCAGGTGCAAGATGTTGGGGAGGGGGAGAGAGAGAGGATCGGGCGAGGCAGCATCTCTTTGGGGCTTTTGGGGGGGGTGAACCTTCTACCCCTCCCCCCGAATTCGGAGTCCACGAAGCCCCCTCCCCATGAGGACCCCCCCCAGCCCCCATGCCATGGGAGGAGGAGGGGGAGGGGGGGCCGCGGGGGAGCAGCCTCCTTTCCCTCCCAGCGCATCCTGCGGCCCAAGGGGGGGGGAAGGGGGGGAAGGGGGGGCTCCTCACCTGCACCACCACCTCCACCTCGTAGGCGTTGCCCTTGGAGCGCTGCTGCCCGCGGAACTTGGCGCCGCTGTAGAGGCGGCTGGTGCTGACGCCGGGCTGCGCCGTGTTGATGGGCGGCGGAGGCTCCAGGCGGGCGGCGGCGGCGGCGGCTCCCGGGGCCGGTTCCGGGGGGCAGCGGCAGGAGCTCCGCACCGGCATCTCGGCCGGGTCTCCCGGCGCCAGCGCGGGGCGGGCGGGCGGGCCTGGCTCGTCCTCCGTCACCGGGCCGGCCTCCCTGCCCGCCTGCAGCCCCGCTCCGCTCCGCTCCCTTCGCCGCCGCCGACGATTGGACGCCCGCCGCGCCGCGCCGCCCCGCGATTGGACGCGCCCCGGTCACGTGCGCGGCGACAGTGGGAGGGGGGGACGCCGCTTCCGCTGGGGACACGGCGCGGCGGAGGGGACAAACCGCGTTTGTGACGCCGATTGGCCGGTCGCCCCGCCACCTCTGACCCCTGCCCCCCTCCCCCTCCCCGGCAACATGGCGGCGCCCGGAGGGCGAGGCAGTTACCTCAGGGTGTCCGCTCATGATTGAGCGAGGGCGTCATCGGTGACCCAGGGAAGCAGGGGAGCCGCCTGAGAGGAGCCGCCTTGAGGGTCGCTGGGCCGGCCGGCGATGTGGCGAGGGAGCCTCGGGAGGCTGCTTAGCAAAGGGGCCCTCGCGCCCCTTCGCCCCGCGCCCCGTCCGGAGGCTTCCCCCGCGGCCTTCAGGAGGCCTTACGCGGCCCAGGCAGGTGAGGCGGGGATTATACGCCCGGTGGCCGCTGTGACCCCATTTCCCTCATTCCAGGAAGCTTTTAGATTTACTCCTTTTCCTCTTTTTTTTTTTCTTTAGAAAAGTCTCACTTTTGCCCTTTATTTGGATCCTTGTACTTTTACGGTACAAAAGGTGCCATTTAATGCACAGCCTTTCACATCCGTGTAAAAACATGGACATTTGTCCTTAAAAAAAATTAACTTACGCGGCTTGACGATATTTTTATTAGAATAGTGCCTGATTATGCTTCAGTTCATTTTGGCCGGTGTCTATTAGTTTTGTAGGTTATTTGTCTGTTTTTGTCTTGCAGAAAGGAAAAGATTTTACCAAAATGTTAGCATCTCCCAAGGAGAAAGTAAGCACAATTTTGCATTACGTTATATTTGTTTATTTGAGCCCATTTCTTCTATTGCAAGATTCATTAGAGGGGGAAAGAGTTTTGTTGCCAAACAGGAAACTGAATCTCTATCTTGCTCTGTATCTTTTACAATCCCACTTGCATCTGTGTGGTGAGCTGGAAATCCATGTTCAGTGGAGTATATTGCACTGTTACAAACAAAAACACCAAAGCTTTGGCAGTTCTCCAGTTTCATAGTTACGAATTTTTTTGTCAATATATCACTATCATTGTCAAAGCTTATGTTATAGGCTTTATGGGGTTTATATCTGATGTGGGCTTCTGTGGGATATGGTTGGCCCTCAGGATGCTCTTTTCACCCAATCTAGGAAGGTTTTCTTACGTTTTTAAAGGGAGTCTTACATGTATTAATGGCAAGGCTTGCCCCTTTATTGAGGGGGCAGGAATAGGACAAATGTTCACCTCTCAAAGCTGAAGTTCAGCAAAATAAAAACAAGCTATAGAATATAGATCACCAATATTTAGTGCCATGCTCTCTTCTTTCTCTTCAGGTGGCTTTGAAATCAACTTGGACAGCCGGAAGCTGAGAACTCCGCAAGCTAAGCTCTTTACAATACCCAGTGAGCCTCTGGCTTTGGCTGTGGCAACTGAGTGGGATTCCCAGCAGGACACTATCAAGTTCTATACTATGCATCTGGTGTGTGAAAGGAACGGGCCAGCTGAGCAAATGGAAATTTGGAACCACAGTCAGTTGGGTCTCTTTGAATAAAATAAAGCCAAGGTTACTGAAATTAGTTACATTAGGAGAATGCGAGCTGTATTTACAAAAGTTGATTTGGTAAATGATTTGGGTAATAATGAGCTGCTCTCTACAGTCACCATGTTAAAAAACAACAACAGTAAAAACAAAGACTTGGCATATTAGACAAAAAAACAACAGCAGGCCCAATCCTTGTGTAAACAGGAAGCTGTTTATAGTTTTGATAAAGACAAATATGTAAATCATGAAAAGTTGATAGGCCAAATTTAATGAAAATTCTGGATCCGTATTAAAATCATATGTAGGATGCAAATTTGCATAGGCTGGGGGGGGAGGGGACATTTGCACAAGAAATTTGCTGCTTTGCTGTTCAGACATGTAGGTTCAAGTAGCTTAGAGCCTGAGGTCTGGATCGCTAAAACTGCTTTATGTTCTTTAGACCAACTTGTGCAACACAGCATTGGACAACCCATCACAGCGAAGCAAAGATCAGCTCATCCAGGCAGCTCTGAAATTCTTGGAGACAGATACTATCTGGTAGGCATTCATTTTGGCTTCTACGGCTTATTTAAGGTTGGAAATTAAAGACTTCCTTGTGATGTAAGATTTAGATCACCCAAGAAGAACAATGGGTAATTGGACCAGTCATCTCACAGGGATGTTGTTTATGGGAGGCATCAGAGGAAGGTTTCCATGTAAACCGTCTTGGATATCTGGAGGAAAAGTGACCTAATAAAAAATTCAAACTAGGCAATAAAGGGGGGATGGGAAACATTCCTACAATTTGTGCAATGTAGTATTTCCACGTGGCAGGACTATGTTTTTCTTTGGAATAAGGGAAGATTAAAAGCTGGAGATATTAAGATGAAGAAGTGACTCTAAGGCCTGACTGCATTGTTGTTTTTTAAAAACTTTCCTGGATTCTTAGTTACCGGGTAGAGGAGCCACCAGCCTTGGTAGAACTACAGAAGAATGAATGGGATCCGGTAATTGAATGGGCTGAGAAAAGGTAAGTATAAGCAGTGAATCGGTGCCAAAGGTCTTGGATCTTCTGACTTTGTTTCATCCTTGCCCAGAGCCTGATGTATCAAAACTCCATTCCATCTCCAGATACAATGTGGTGATTGGCTCTTCAACAAGCATCATGGGTCCTCCCCTCCCACAAAGCACAAAGGACACCTTCATTAGCCACCTTGCTTCATACAACAGCTGGGCCCTCCAAGGTATGTCACATAACATCCTGGGATCTGGTGGATTTCAAACTGCATTGGATTAAAACATTCTTCGTATATTTCTGTGGGGGTGGTGCTGATTGGGAAAGTGATGGGGAGATTTAGGGACCTTTCCCTTTTTAAATTGAATTTTTTTAGCCAACTATCCTCACCTTGAAGCATAGGAGAACATACTTTATAAGAGAAAGTGACAATTTCCACCCTTCTTTTATTAACACATTAAATTACTTCGTTATTAAATCTTAAAGAGTATTTTTTTCACCAGGCATAGAATATATGATAACACAGCTGAAGTCTCTGATTCTAGCAATGAGCCTCGTTGACAAACATTTAACAGTTGAACAAGCTGTTGTCCTGTCTCGACTGGAGGAAGAGTATCAGGTAAACCTTACAATATGACAGGTTTTATACATTCCTGTGTGTGGATTCAGACACGGTGCTCAGCAGTATTGTGGCCTGTTTGGTTTTGGTTCATCTGTAGTGGAAACTTATTTTGTTTTCTAAGCTCTGGTTTATGGCTTTGTCTCCTGTGTGAATCTGGGGTTATTTTAGGCATTGTGGCTGAGGATATTGTGGCTTGCTGTGATCAGTAAACAGCCATCATTGGACCAAAATGGAGGTCAGGAGCATCCAAACTGAACAAAGCTTTAGTTAAGGAATGTCCCTTAGGATATAAGTAAACTGTTCCTCTTCCTGGAAAAATCTGCCAAACATCTTGAACCTTCCTCTGGGAAGGTTCAAGATGGTTGATTTTTTCAGGAAGAGGAACAGTTTACATATGGTTAGCCCTAAGTCCTGCAGTGGAAGGCAAGGCCTGCAATTTTATTGTCTTTCTCTTGCTCTAGATTCAGCACTGGGGGAATGTGGAGTGGGCCCATGACTACGAAAGGTATGACTTGCGGGCCCGCACAGCTGCTGCCACCCTGTTTGTCCACCTTTGCTTAGAAAATTCCACCATCAAGCACAAGCTGCTTCAGCACTGAGGAACTGGGATGCAGAAGAAGGAAGAGTGTCAGTTTGGATCAACCTGAAGAAGATCCAGGTGGAATGGATGATGGAGAGGTGCTGTGAGCATGGCTGGGCCACAGATTAGGAGATGGGACTCTTCCATGCCCTTGGAGGTTGATTCTCCCTGGAAGTTTTGGGAGTGGCTTCCTATCCGCCTCACCTGGGCTGGCCGCTTCTGACGAGATTTCCTTGTTTCCCAGGTTCTGCATTTTGCCTGGCAGGTAGACAGATTTCAGGAGCAGAGTATTGGAATGCTATATGAGCCTGCCATAATGGGTGGAAGGCCACAAGTTCTGTCCTGCTAGAGGTGGGAATATATCGCAGCAATTGAGCATCTCTATTAAGATTGAAGACACTCTAGCTAAAGTCCCCAACATGAGATACGGGTTCCAACATGCCACCAATATCCCCTTTGGTGACCATAAAGATCCTAATTCCCCTCCACCCCCATTTAATTTAAAAGGGATCATATTGCAAACCAAAACGGCAGGATCCACTGCCACCTTTATTTGCAAGAACCGTCTCTCGATTCCAAACTGGCTTCATAAACTTATTAGAAAATGAAAAAACTGTGAATACAACTGAATACTTTGTTTGGAGTATGCTTTGAAGACGGACAAAAATAAAGTGATACATTTTGCTCTTTTTAAAAGAAAATATGTCTGTTTATTCATTTTGATCATTAAACATTTTGGGGGATGAAGGAGCCTCTGCGGTGGGATAAGTTCTTTGTGTTCAATGGATTAGATTCAACCAGAAGGAGACCAGCGGGCAGGTTCACTGCCTGTTGCAGAATCTAAATCCAGAAGTGGCGTTTGTACACTTCAGTACTGAAAGCAGCTACTGCTCTAGGATGTCCAAGTTATCCAGTTCACTGCGGATATGATCAATATAGTGATTGAGTTCTAGCACACGGCTTCGGTTTCGGTGGATTTCATCCTTGTGAACCTTCAGGGATTGAAAAATGAAGATGGGAAACCTGAAGAAGCTTCAACTCTTACTCATGATGTCTCTTTTGGTTTCTTAAGGTTAGCTAAGAGAACATTTCCCTTTGTAGCCAGCTCCGTTGAGAGGGCCACTGAGTACACTAGAAGTCCTCCCTTTCTCAGGAATGACTCTTCTTTTGAGGAAAACCTAATGGTTTACGCTTACCTTTTCAATCAGGTTGTAAACCCGATTGTTAGCTTTGGTGATGATTTCATCTTCTCGGTTGTCAATCTTCAGCAGGTGAATGTCATGGGAGGCGTTGACCGCGTTGACGATGGTGTCTTTGTCCACAAAGAGCTGGAAGCAAAGCCATTGAGAAAAGGTTCTGAGTAGCCCCTGATGTGGTCTATGTGATGTCTAATGACTGATCCAGAACGAGAATATCCCACCTCTTCTGGTCCCGGGAGTAGTTATGGGAGGGGTAGAAGCAGCTTACCATACGGACTTCATCTGGCATCTCTTCATCGTACTCACTCTTCACTATCTTCTCCAGCGTGTTGATGGCTATTTCTAAGAGCTTCTCATGATGGTGGTTTTCAAGATCCCGGCATTGTGCCATTGTGCAGCGGAAGGTTAAGGAAAACACAACAGCCTTGCTCTCTTCAGAGAAGTGAGGAAAGCTTTGCTTTATCAAAGCTTTTTATCAAATCAACGCAGGCCTGGGTGGTTCTGGAGGACATACCAGCTTGCTCGCAGCTACTTAAATTTATGACACCTTGGCGGCACTCAAAAGGATATAGTCCTTGTTCGTTCTCTATAAAAGTCGAGACGAGATCGGCAATGTTTCTTTCAAAATCTTTGATAACTTCCTTGGAGAAAAAAAGACAGTTTGAACTAAACCAATTCCAAGACTTTTCACATTCCAATAGGCTTACAAATTTTGTTTCTCCTGGTTTGCTGATGTTGCTGGATGTGAAGACGGGGGAATGATAGGTATGGCATAAGGCCACGTGTCTAGGGATGCTGCTTATTTGCTGTTGCTTAAGAATATAAGAAATGCTCAGCAGTGTTGAATGGTCTGCTAGAAAATGACTGGTTTTCAGGACTGCTGATTCCAATCTCCCAGCCTGTGCTTAGTAGATCCCAACAGAGGGGAGGCCTCCCCTCACCCCTCATTGCCTTACCTCCAGCTGGTCAACCAGCTGCATCTCCAGAGACATCAACGTTTCATACAGCTTGGTGATTGCATCGTTATACTCCACCAGCTTTAACTCGGCCATCTGGAAGTCCCCGAGGGTCTGAATTTCTTCGATCGTCTACTGGTGGAAGACAAGACAGAAAATGTTTTTCTCGTGCCCCAATTCCCCTCTCAACAGGAAGGAAAGAAACCCTGAAACAAACACATGAACTATTTCCACGGAGGTTCCAAATGGCCTGGGTGAACCTCTGGAATATGCAGGTTCAATAGGGCTACAACCCTAAATGCAACTACCAGCGAGTAAAAAAAGTCTAGCACAAGGCAATACAAGTAGTCCCCAGCTTAAAACTCTTCATTTAGCGACCAAAGTCTCAACAGTACCGGGAAAAGTGACTCATGATCAGTCTTCACAACTATGACTTGTCGCAATTTCCCCACAATCATAGGATCAAAATTTGGGCACCTGGCAACATCCAGGGTCATGTGCTCACTTGTGTGACTTTCGTGTGACTTTCCTAACCAACTTTCCTAACCAACTTTCGACAAGCAAAATCAATGGGGAAAGCTGGATTCGCTTAATGACAGTGTGATCCACTTAACAACTGCAGCTATTCACGTAACATCAGTAGCGAAAGTAAAATCGGGCATAATTTAACGGCCACTTTGCTTAGTTCAACTGTGGTTGTAAGTCAGAAACGACCTGTAACATTTGTGTGTCATCCTTTCAGGCCTGATTTTAAAGGAGGCTTCCAGGATAAACCTTGGTTTGCTCAAATAGCTCATCCCGCTCTTCTGGTTCACAAAGCAAGCAAGGTTTAAGATAGTTGCGACGGTGATGAAGAACAAAATGGATGGGAGCGGAAAGGCGCTGGGGTGGCAAGGTGCCAGATTCCCCCAACGTTCCCGTGGTAAGGAAGCTACCCACCCCTTGGTTCTTCTTCTCAAACTCGTGAATGATTCTGGTGCCCTCGTCTTGGTTGTCCTTCAGGGCTTCATTCAGGCACTCGTAGAAAACGGCAATCTCGTCCTCTCGCTTTTGGTGCTGATGCAGGCCGTATTCGAACAGTGTTTGGCAAATCTCGACGAATTTACTCTTGTAGGTGGGGTTGGAGTCAAAGAAGCAATCAATCAATCAATCAATCAATCAATAAATAAACAAATCAATCAATAAATAATAATAAATAAATAAATAAACAAATAAATAATAAATAAATAAATAAATAATAAATAAATAAATAATAAATAAATAATAAATAAACAAATAAATAAACAATAAATAATAAATAAATAAATAATAAATAAATAAATAATAAATAAATAAATAATAAATAATAAATAAATAATAAATAAATAAACAAACAAACAAATAATAAATAAATAAATAATAAATAAATAAATAATAAATAAATAAATAAATAAATAAACAAACAAACAAATAAATAAATAAATAAATAAATAAATAAAACACTAAGCCTGCTTCATGGCATTTCTGAGGCTCATTTCCTGCCAGGGGAAATCCTGGTTGAAACAGGAACGGGAGCTCCTGCCTCCAAGAGGTCAGTCTGAGTCGGTTCTCTGGGAATAAACACGGAGCGATTTCCCATGCTAAATTTGAATAGATCAGAGGGAACAAGGCAAAGCAGATTTTGGGGGAGCTTCTTGGGTTTGAAATATATAGAAAATAAAAGTCCTGACATTATTTACTTTTCTCAGCTCCCAGCTGAGGAAAACCTGTCTAGCACATGGAATGGGAGGCAGTGAAGCAGCTGCCCCAAATGATGCTACTTTAATACAGATTTTGGAATTCCCTCCGCTTATGGCTCATCACAGATGGATTTGCTTTTTGTTTGTTTAAAGCGTGACACCAGTCATGACAGTGAACTGCCTCAAATTGTATTTCCACAAGGCATCTCCTCAGGAAGGATATGTCTCTAACAGTGCTGGTACGCCAGGAAGGTACACCAACTTTGATGCTTCAGGGTCTTCTGCATACATGCTGTCAAAGAGATAAGACCCATCCAGATACTCCACATAGGCAGCCTTGGAAGAGAAATCACAAAAATTAGATGAAGGCTGCAAGGTTCTCCCTGCTTTAAGAATCCTCAGGGGTAAAACAACTGGGGGGGGGGGGAAGCAGACAACCCATAAATGTCCACATGCAAAGTGCATAGAAAGTTTACACCCAACTCACACCTTGCACTAAAGTGCGTTGCGGGGGTGGGGATTTGATTTTAGCACAGCAGGATGTGTCGATTTGTAAATTAGGATTTGGAATTTAAGGATCCAGTAAGTTTGTTCGGCCAACTTGGTGTGGGAATCCAGTTGTGGCATTCCTCATGAAACTTTTCATGTTTTATATTCCAGCACAGGGAATTTCGCTCCAGAGCTAAGCAAATGGCCCACGGACAAATTTTCCTTTCAAACAGCAAAACGGACGCCTGTTTCTGATTCCGTTTTCACTGGGTGATTTTTAAGGTCCCATTAAAACTTGGGGAGGTGGAGGGCAAACAGCAGCTGCTCCCCAGGGTCCTGTGACCCAGAGCCAGTGAGAGTGCCATTTACCTTGTGAGATTCCACCTCCTTTTCCCTGGCTTCCCACTCCTTCTGCTTGGCCAGGGCCAGCGTTTCCCCATGCCTCATCTCCTCTATGGCATACTGGTACTTAATCAAGGCCATCTCTCGCTGGCAGGAAGGAAAGACGGGAATGACAATCAGCTGAGATTAGAACTAGGCTCCCAGGTCATGCAAGCAGAATCTCCCCGAGGGGGACGACATGGCATTGGGGGTCTCACTATCGGTTTATAATGAGGAGCACCTCTAGAGATCCTTACATTGTTTTCCTCCACCAGTCTGAAATCCAGGTACACGAGATTGGGCAGGTAAGCCGCAATGAACATGGAGTACACTTCATTGTCACACACTGGGTTCCCAGTGAGGCTCAGTGTCCGCAGATTTTTGAATTTCCTGAGATAGATCATCTGAGGTAGATGGACAAAAAGATCCAGGTAATCAAGAAGCCTGTAACTGATTAATACAAATATTGCAATAGTCACAAATGACAAAAGAAGAAGAGAAGTATGGATTTTTGGTTCAGGAAGCTTCTGTTAGAAAATTTAGTATAGTGCTTGGGCCTGGAGGAATTTCATTCTCAGGTTTTAATATTTCCAATACGTTCAATTTTTTAAAAATATTGAGATCCACAATATATTATAATATTTATTTATTTATTTATTTATTTATTTATTTATTTCCAATTTATATACCGCCCTTCTCCCTGAGGACTCAGGGCGGTGTACAGCCAAAATAAGAACATAAAATACAAATATTAAAAAAACAATTAAAAATATATATAATTTTGGCCCAGAAATTAAGAAATCACAATATATTGTTATATATTATATGTTATATTATAATATATTGTTATATTTCCCAAGTGGTTCAACCCACAGACATGCTGTAAAGATCACAGTGCTTTCCACCCTTCACATTTATTTAGCATTAAATAAATCCTAATTATTCAGGTCATTAATAGTAGCTTCCTTAGTTGGTGATTCATTGTCTAGTTACAGATGTGTCATTGTCCCCGTATATCACTTTACCATACAGGGGAAATCAGAAGAGGAGCAACATAAACTAAAATATATCTTCTGAATTCAAAACCTACTAAAGGCCCATGAAAACGGGTCCTAAAGATTTATAAATCCTTTCTAATCAAAAACTTACATTTTCCAGATTGTTGATATTATTATTTCCTATAGAAAAGACTTGGAGTTCTTGTAGTGTATCCAGATTCTCAATGTTGGAGATTCTGTTATTGTACAGACTAAGGTCCTGCAACTTAACCAACGTGTCTAAGCCTTCAATGAATTCAATATTATTGAAGGACAAATCTGTGGGAACAAGATTAAAACGTACGAGTCCCAAAAGGAAACCATCAAATCCCTCCCAGACAAGACCTGCAAACCCACATGGCCATTTGTAGAGCATTGGTGATTAAAAAAAACTTATAGCTCCTGAAAAAAACAGCAAAAGCTGCTGAGAATCTATTTAATGGGGCTGGGAATAAATCCAGTTAATAAGCAAATTAAATCACTTATCAGCTCTTTCTCATATCAGATGCAGCACCCCCCCTCTCCCTCCAATGTGGATATCATCTGATCAGAAAGATAAAATTTTTCTGTTACGGGAATACATACTAATCTCAATTCTATATAACAGGAAAAGCAAAAAATGCTAGCCATAGAGGAATAAAGCATTTATCTATTCAGGTCAAGATGCACCCGGGAGGGCAGGGCAGGGCAGGGCAGGGCAAAGAGCCAAGAGGTAGCAAAGTTTCTGTTCACTGTGGCATTTGACACAATTTCAGATGGCCCGCAATTGCTAGATGGAATCCTTATTGACATGTAGAAACATCAGAGATCAGAGATATATATTCACGGTGGCACTTCCAGAGATTTATCTGATGTGGCTCACATTACCTTACCTAGCCAAACCAGATTAACCAGAGAGTCCAGTGCTTCTATCTTTTCAATAATATTGTTGTCGAGCTGCAATTTTGTGAGGTTCACGAACTCCCAAAGATTGTCGATCTTCAGGATATCTGAGACCACATGGGAAAGAAAAGAACCACTTACTTCAAGTTGGCCACAAATATAGTCAATAAACTAGCAATACCAGCACTGAATGTCAAACTCTCACACTTCCATAGTATCTAATTGTCTAAAAGACCCAATTTTACCACATGATTACAGTGGGTCAGCACTGCACAACGTTCACAAAGAGCTGGGCAGATTTTAGCAACCTCGGAGAGCATCCCAACACAACTGGAGGCCAACACATTACAAAAAGGATGGAGTAAAAAGACAGGAAGTAGAAAGAGAAGGGGGGAAAGGTTTTATCAACAGACTAATTATGGACCATCCAGTCAGTGAATCTTAGCAATCACATGGATAGGCTTTCTCCGTGCCCAATTAGGTCCTCCAGGCCTTCCAATACCAACCGAACTGTAGCTTAAAGTGGAGTTAGCAAAATAAGTCCGAATTATGCCCAACAAGTCGAAGGCTTTTCTGCAACAGCTTCTTCCAATCCTTTTCACAAACCTTCTTAAATACCCAAGTGGAACTACTAGGCGTTCCCGTGGCAAGTTGCGGACCAGCAAGTCTTCGCAGTGAAAAGCAGGCAGGCTGGTTTTTTGTAAAATAAAATGCTCTCTTTTGTGCTCCGGCCCTTACTTCTGAAATCCAGTTGCAGGGCTTTGACCTCTTTGAAGTTGATGCCTTCCTTCTTGGCCAGCTGGCCTGCGTCGTCCTGAGGCCCCTGCTCCTCCACCGCTTTCTGCAGCATCTCTTCATTGATCACGTTGGGTTCGATGCTGTCGTAGAAGCGACTCATGTTTGGGAGAAAGCTGGGATGAGGTTAACTGGATTCTGTGGCTGGCCCTGAAATGCAAGGAAAAATGACCCCTATTGCTGGGATCTCTCTATAGGGGTGAAGAATTCTGAACAGAACAGATTAATAGAGTTGGAAGGGACCTTGGAGGTCATTTAGTCCAACCCCTGCCCTACATGTAGGAGACCCTACATCATTTCTGACAGATGGCAGTCCGGTATCTTCTGGAAAGCTTCCAGTGTTGAAGTTCCTGGCAACCAGCGACCACCAGGTCTTCCCAAGCCTCAGGGACCCCTCAGTGTGCCCATGCAACATACAGGCACTCCTTGACTTACAGCGGTCCTTGTTTAGTGACCGCTTGAAGTTACAACAGCACTGAAAAAAAAAGTGACTTGGTTGGTTTTCACACTTACGACCGTTGCAGCCATCCTCATGGCCACGTGATCAAAGTTCAGACGCTCAGCAACTGACTCACATTTATGACGGTCGCAGAGTCCCAGGGGTCACGTGATCCCTTTTTGTGACCTTCCGACCAGCAATGGGGAAGCTGGATTTGTTTAACGACGGTGTGGCTCACTTACCAACTGCAGGGATTCCCTCAACTATGGTGGCGAGAAAGGTCGTAAAATGGGGCAAAGCTTACTTAACAGCGGTCTCACTCCGTCAACTGAAATTTGGAGGTTCTATTGTGGTCGTAAGTCGAGGACTACCTGTATCTCTTCTGCAGCTGTCTTGGTTGCCGGTCTTCTTTTAGGGGGCTCGAGGCCTACCTGGCCCGGGGCCTGGCCCTTCGTGGCTTATCCCGAGCTCCGGTCCGCACCCCGCAGCTCGGGGCCCTCGGGGACCCTCGGCCCTGCCGGAGGAAGGCCTCGTTGCTGTGGAAGCCGCGTCCGTTGCTAGGGAAAGTCACGTGACCTCTATCGGAGCCCGCCTGCCTTTCTTCTCTCGTCGGAGAAGCTAGCAGGCGAGTTCGATTCGCATTCGCTTTGCAGGACGTCTGTCAGAGCTGGCATACCAATGAAAAGCCACATAAACAGCCGTTTCCTCTCGGGATTGGTTGTCGGAGAACCACGGTTTGCGAATAACTTGCGAATGCTATCCAATAGTCTGCGGGCTTCTCCCGCAGCGTTCTCCAATGGCGAAGCGCGGAAGGCGGGGTCCTCTCCTTCCCCGCCTCGTCGTCGTCTCTCAGAAGCTGTCCGCTTTCCAGTCGAGTCCCCCTGGCCTGACAGTGATGGGCGTCTCGTTCCTCCAATGACAAAGCACCCCTCGGGAACCCCGTCCAATAGAAAGCGAGCCAGGGCCGTCCTGAGGCGCGAGCGCCGCCGCCCTTGGCCGCCGCCGCCGCCGCTCAAGCCGGGGAGGCGGGACGAAGTGGCGGAGTGAGAGGCGACGGGAGGCTGATCGGGCCGGGAGGCCGGTCGCGTTTGTTGTCATCTTTAAGATGGAGTTTCTTCTGGGGAACCCCTTCGCCACCCCGGTGGGGCAGAGCCTGGGTAAGCCGGCACCGGGCGCGGGGGAGGATTCGGGCCGGCTGGAGCTCGGCTGAGGCGCCCTCAGGCCAAGTGGGGGGCTGGGCCGCGGATGGGGAGGGGGTCTCCCAGGCCCCTAGGCCCGTTTTGGGACCCCCGGGGTCGGTTGGGCTGAAGAGGCCCTTCTGGGCGGGCAGGGGGAGCTCTGCAGGCGCCCCCTCCCCAGTGACCCCCCCCCAGCCCCTCTGATGTCTGCAGACCTCCCACCTGCACAGGGGTCTCCCCCTCCCCCTCCCCCTCCCCTGACTGAGGAAAAGCAGCCCCTCCCCCCTTTGGTCCCTGCAGAGCATCTTTCGCAGGTGCCCCATCTGGGGGTCCCTTGGGGGGGGAGGGGGGCTTTGTGGTGGGATTCAATGTGTGGCGATGTTGAGATGTGCACCCCCCCCAATCAGCCCTGGAAGTGGGGGGCTCTCAGGTGAGGGTGGGGGCCCATCTGGATGAGCATGGCCTGGCCTTTTCCAGATGGCCATCTGCTGCTGCTGCAGCTGCAAATTAGCTTCTTCCTTTCTATACAGATCTGTACAAAGTGTCTTTGAAGGCACATGGGGAGGGCGGGGGGGGTTTCTCTGGGAGAGGGGTCCTTGCAAAGACCCTGCGGGCAAAGGCCAGCTGTCCCCCTGGAGGGGTGGGGGCAAGGCAGCTTGTGCCCAGCCATGAAAGTGTGCGCCCAAGCTGGCTGTGACACGCCCAGCAGCTTCCCAAACCTGGATCCGTCTGCAGGATGACTTATGTTTTGTGGAAGATTAAAAAAACAAAACAGAAAAGCATGCATTATAAAAAAAAAAAGATATCTACATTTGCAGCGGAGGGATGTTTCGGGAGAAAAGTGATATAAAAGGGAAGGTTGCCTGGCAGTAATATTGTCAGGGTTTTTTTTGGGTGTAGGGGGGGTGAGAATAAGACGGGTGCAAAGCCTTGGGAGGATCTGTGGCAAAGGGGGAAAGAAGTCAGGGAGGGGGGAGTGGTCGAGGTTGTAGGAAGGCGCAGCCTGACAGTGAAGGAAGAGATCTCAAAAAGGAGAAGAGGAGGTTAGAGATGCTCAGAACTTGTGGGTGAGCTTGGAGCTAGGAATGCTGGCAGGAAATGAAACAGAGGATGCCCAAGAGGGAAAACTGACTTGAAAACACAGCAAGGTGCAGATTTGGAGGCCCTGTAATCTTGAAAAAGTTCTCCTGAGGGGGATCCAAGAAAAGATGATTGAATTGTTTGTGGATATTTACAGCAACTTCTCCACTTAAGGCTCGAGAAGCTGTGGTTTTCTTGGTTTAAAAAACAGTGACTAAGCAGGGGTGTGGGAAGGTTGATGGTTATACAGAAGCCACGTGTCGGAGTGCAAGGACCTTGCAATGTGCACCAATTGTTCTTTTTAAAAGAAGCAACGCCTTGCATAAATGCCTGTGCGCTTTAAGGAAATGACTATACGGCAGGTTGAGAGGTTCCTGGATGTAACATGCCTTTAAAGAACCGAAGGACCCAACAACTGTTTGGTGAGTGGACTTTTCCGATCAGTGGCCGTTCATTCACTTTCTTGAACTCAGTTTGGAGAGAGGAGAAAGGGTGGACAGAGCTGAGGCGCAAGGTTGAGAAATGGGGGCGAGAGGATACGCACATGTTGAGACAGATAACAGAGGAATTGAAAAGAAGAATTGAGAAATTGGAAGGAAGAATTGAGAAATACAAAATCTATATTGGTTTCTACCTAACTTTTAGTCAAAATTAGGAAGTGGGCCGCAAGCTTTTCTTACTGGGAAGGATCTTGATCAGTTTATGAAGCTAACCGCTTGCTTGTGCATCATTAGAGTAAACTTCAAAACTCATTTTATTGTTGCATAGTCTTGTGAATGCTGTAGGGATGCTTGGTCCGAAAGCAGGTAAACGCTGTTTAATTTGAGCCCATTTTTCTTTGTGGCAGATGCTAAATCGTTGAGAATGAAATCAGAGACCCTGCTCTAAAGGGCAGCAGTCTAATTAGGGTGCCTTCCTTTTGCCCTTGGAGAATCAAAAATAGATTCTGGCCTTTTTTCTAACAAATTGTGACATTTTATTCAATGGGAAAAGGATTCCCAACGCAGGCAAGAGAGGGTTGCATAATGAAAGCGAATGTGTATAGTCCAAGGAATGTCATTTACATCCTGACTCTGTTGACCTTTACCAAGACCTTGAATAAGTGACTCGGAACATCCCTTTATTTAAAAGGAGACATTACTGCAATTCTAAGAATATTCTTTACAGTACATGTATTGTTGCAATTTATTGGTATATACTGTGAAGCTGAAAGTCCTGAGGCGTTACACCAGTTGGGAGAGAAAAACGTAAAAATCTCTGAAAGAGAAACAGATAAAAACAGGACATTGCTGCTCTTCTTTTTAAAATCTTTGTTTTGTTAGAGAACAGTTTCTAAGTGGTCTTAATTCGGGAGGGACTTCGGAAATTTTGAATGAATTTCTTGAAACGTGGCTGTCTTGAAGTTGTCAGGTCTTTGAATTAGAGTATATAGAGGCTAGTTCAGACACTGCACTAAGCCAGCAAGGGATTTAGTTCTTGGTTTAGGATGTTGTATGAATGCAACCATTGTTATTTTTTAAGGAGTTATTAAACATAACTATAGTTTAGCTCAGTGAGTGAGCCCAGCCTGGAAGGCACAAGCAGAGGTAGCACTTCACAATGGAAGTGGCTGTGCTTGGAAAATTGAAGCTGTTTCCTAAGCCTAAATTGGCCAGCTCCAAAATGAGAAAAGACGTTCAACTTACAAGCTCGTTATTTTTGCCCTCTTAGGCAAGAGATGGGAAATAATAGCTTGAAAATCTTTATTCTGAAGAAAATGCCTAGTAGAAACAGGTTGCACTCTTTGGCTATTGATTTTTTTTTATGTAAAAGAACCAAAGGTTGGCTACACACACAGTGTTCATCAAAAGATCAAAACATCCCACTTGGCTTGCAAAGCAGGATCTGATCTCAGTCAAGAAATAGTTGCTTTCAAAGTCTCATGTCAGAAATTGTCCAAAGTTTAATCACACACATCTCCTCCTCCTCCTCCCTGATTTGAAATTTTAGTGTTGAGGACTTAAGTAATCTTGAAGGCTTTGGTATGGATGTCACTGACATTATGTGACCCGGTTGCTGACTATCCAGGAAAAAAAGGCATCCAACCTATTATTACCATCTCAGTCTGGAATTTGGGAGATCTGATAGCAAGTTTCCCTCTGGTGGCCCAGGGCAAGCGGCCTTAAGAAGCAGAGAAGCCCGTGAGGGATTTCACTTTAATTTGAACAGGGATGGAAAAGCAAACCTATCCTGGATGAAATATCTGCTGTGTAACCTTGGCTGAAGTAGTTCATAGTTCACTGAATTTTCCTTGTTGAATGTTTCTGTGGTTCTTCCTGGCTCGTGTGTGAGATGCAGTCGTCTGGCTGTTTCGCGTTCTTTGGTGGCCCTTTTGATGTTAGAGAAGATGGAGACGAGTTCCATTAAAACCCATTGGATTGATGACAGCTTTGGCATCTGCAATTAAAGCCGGTGGCCTCCAAAAATATCTAGGGCTAGAAATGCATCAGCATTGTACTTCCTCTGCCAGTAAATGGCATTGATTCCCATGAAAATTTAATCGCCAGCACACTAGGACATTGGGTAAACATGAGCAAACACTGTTCAGGAAAGGGTTGAGATGATCAGAGGCTTATCTTTCTCTGTTGTAAAATGTAAATAACTCAGCTGTGAAACAGGTTGAAGCAGTAAAGGGATAAACACTTTCCGAAGGTTAATGAGCAATATGTTTATTCATTCATCCCTGATGCAACTCCCTCTATGTGTTTGCCATATTTGCAGTGGCAGAAGGTTCTTCTGGCAGAATTTTTTGACCATGAAAGATTGGGCAAGATTTCTGTGAAAGCCTAGAGTTGGCCAAGTAAGCCCGCAGAGATATGTTGAACTCTGAGAAGACCATAATAATGGTTCCCTGAGGCTGAGAGTTAGCTAATGAAGGTACCCGCAGAATCTCAAACTACAGTATGCATATCTAGATATATATATATATATCTACTCGTTGGTGTCTACTCATCAGGGGTCTCCAAACTTGGCAACTTTAAGACTTGTGGACTTCAACTCCCAGAATTCCTCAGCCAGCCAACTCCACAAGTCTTAAAGTTGCCAAGTTTGGAGACCCAAACTGGAGTGGACATTAGGAGAAATATTCGAACAGTGAAAGCTGTTGGACACCAACAACCCAGGCTTTTGTTAATAATGGCTTCCCAGTTTCAAACCAGTGAAGGATGGTGAATTGTTTCGATATTGTCTGTTTTCTCCAAGGGATTCAGGGAGAATCTCTGCCTCCCTTCCCTATTTCTTCTTAGATCCTCCCTCCAAGTTGAAAGGTTATTAAATGACAGTAGTCAACAGGTCATGACTATTGCTGGTTATATGTTTTTAGTTCCTTTTCTCTAAGCATGGAATCTTCCTTGGGATTCTCTTAATTCCTCCCTACTCTTTTTTTCAAACATGCAAAATTGTATGGTAGCTTCTGACATATTCGGTGGTTAATAGCCAAATGCTAATGCAAAAATAATTCCTGAAGACAAAAATCCAAAGGGTGAAAGATCCACAATTATTTTTTTAAAAAGGGGGGATGAGAATGTTTAAGTTCTGTGCAGGATTCCAAATATTTTTTTAAAAAAAAATCAAGTAGGTCTAGTTCAATGCGACATATTGCTAATGGAAGCAAAATATGGCTTGGCACACAGGTTGCTCGGTAGCACAACAGGAATAAAAACGATAAATCTGTAAAGCAAGCACAGGCCTGCACATAAAAAAAATAGACCATTTCTCTTCCAATTCTCATCCCGAACAGCTGTTTCCAATTAGATTGCCTGCTGACCAAGAGAATGGCTTGGTTCGCACATCAAGCTAAGCCCAAATGGAATTTATTTGGATTTCAACTGAAGATATCATGTGAGCTTAGCTATTGTGGTTCATAAACCATGGCTTCTGCATCATCCAGCAACCCTTTCACGTAGGGGTGAGCCATTGTTTAGCTCAGTCCATCTCTCTTGCAAGAATTGGACCTTAACTTCCTGGTCTTCAGCTGACCCTTCCCAGCATCCAGACAGGGACTTAAGAGGATGGCATAAATGAGGTTGGCAAAAGTACCTAGAAGTGGGTAGGTTTTAACAGCCGGAGATCGTATTCCACTGCAGTCCCTCTAAATAGCAAAGGACCATTTTCTTGAAACAGAAGATGGGGTGATTATTTTTCAACTTCGGACCACAAAACCCAAAAGCTCCGCTATTATCCCCTCAGATAAAATTAGAGCCCTCTGCAGTACTTGTTGTAAATTAGCTGCTATGAATAACTTGACAAGATGCTGGAGTGGCCTCAGACCAGGATGGGATTGGTACTCGAGATCTGGTGGTCGAATATTTCTGCAGATAAATAACACGGCATACGCCAGAATGCATCCATGTTGTAAAGTGCTTCGAGGGTGCCCTAAGCCTATTTCAGATGGATTATATTGCAATAGGAAATCCTCAGGAACTGAACATTAAATCTCCAAAAGGAACACATAATAAGAAATAGATTGGTTGACTTATATGCTTTATCTCTTGCTAATATGAAGTATTTAACAGTATTTGTGGGTGCGTGTGTACCCTCCCCCCCACATTATACCCAGTTATAATTTGTCAGCTTTCACCTAGATGAGAAATGTTCAGCCTGAAACCTCTTTACAAAAGACAAACACTTTGAAAATTGTTGCCAAACAGTAATTTTTCATGTAACGAGAATAAATAGATAACTAGCATACTACCATAATAATTACATTTCAATGCAAATATTAAACAAACTGATTTTTTTGTCCAAGGCATAATCTCCTACTTTTTGCCACATCATTCAAAATTCAGTTCTTGGCCTCAAAAAATGTTGTGCACTGAGTTTGATAACATGACCTAGACTTTGCTAATAACTTTGCCCCCCGCCCCACCCCAGGGGTTATGGATTTTTCTTGTCTGCTTCATTTTGCATGTGACACCAGTCAAAAGGCTTATGAACTGTTGGGCTTCTCCTCCTTAAGAGGTTTCTGGCACAAAAGGAAAAAGGTAAAAGGACAGCACAGGTGATTTAGTGCTGTTGGCCGGAAGAGGTTGCTCTATCAGATGGCAGAAAACTGGCAGACTCAAAATTTGATTTCAAAGTATTTCCTTTCCAAACTGGTTCTGAAATCTTTTCCTCCTCCTGGTACCTTTTATGGGTCATTTTCTAAACTTCAGGCCCTTCAGGTTGCTCACTTTTTGCAAACTCTGACACCATCTGTTGGCAGTATATTTTATGTAATTCCGAACAAGTGTGCAGGGCACCAGTTGCTCAGAAGGAAGATAATCTTGATGGAATCTTGTGTTGTACTGCATGGAGCTATAGGTGAGGCTAACTAGCTTGACTGTCAATTTCGTAGAAAATGAGCAACGTATTTGGTTGCTTTACAGAAAAAGCCACTGATGGCTCCCTACAGAGCGAAGACTGGACGCTGAACATGGAGATATGTGACATCATCAATGAGACAGAAGAAGGGTATGTGTATGCACACCCTCTTAGCTGACGGCAAAATTGCCTTTTGCTATTTTGAGTAATTTTTATTTTTATTTTTTAAGACAAACAAACATTTAATACATCAATCCTCTCTTCCCTGTGACATAACCTTTTGCTATTTTGGAGGCCTCCTTTTCTGGGAAGAGTACTTGCTTGTTGGTCAGGTGGTCTCTGCCAGCAGTTTAGATGTTCGGATCCCGTTAACTGCAGACAGTGTTTGCTTGCCTTAACCCTAATCAAGCAGAGAAGATGGCGCTAAATGGGCCAATGACTTGAAGTTGTATGAGCCAAACAGCCCCCAGCATTTGATTTTAAGCTTGAAGAGCTTGTTCTGTAAAATGTTGTTCAAGAAATTGTTTAATAATATTTCAAGTAGCTGGAATACTTTAGTCCAACGCAGCTCTCTGTGTTTAAACACCATAGCAGTATTGTTGGCCCATCTTTGTGAAGCATCACAAAACATCTTTTTGCTGGCTTCTTTTCAGCATCTTCATAGCTCCTGGCCTGGCTTGATTTTTTTTTTTTAAATTTGCTGAAAGTATTTGTGTGTTCCCTCGGGGGACTGTGTTCTCCTTTGAGATGCTCCGCTATAATTGAGCAAACACCGGTGCCTCCAAGCACCCAGGTTCAAAACAGGTGTGCACAAACAGCTTAAAACCGGGGTTGTTGTGTTTCTGTGCTTCAGAGGCACCTGGGGCGCTCACCACCCTTTCCTCCTTTCCTCCTCAGCCCGAAGGATGCCGTTAGAGCGCTCAAGAAGAGGCTGAATGGAAACAAAAACTACAGAGAGGTGATGCTCGCTCTAACGGTAAGTACAAGAAATCAAGATCTGGAGACTTGGGGGGAATGAGCCCGTCACCCTAGAACCCGACCTAGCAGCTCTCTTTTTTTAGGATGCTGAGTGTTGACTCTCTCTTCTGCACCTGAAATGTGTTTTTCACACCAAGGTCCTGGAAACGTGTGTCAAGAACTGCGGCCATCGCTTCCATATCCTCGTAGCAAACCGAGATTTCATAGACGGTGTCCTGGTTAAAATAATTTCACCCAAGAACAATCCTCCCACCATCGTTCAAGATAAAGTCCTTGCCTTGATTCAGGTATATTGCTTTAATTTAAGTCTCTTTCTCCTTGAGCGTATAGCATCACTAATCCTAACCGTTTTAAGGCCACCTAGTTTTGAAGCTTCTACTGGCCAGGCTTTAGCAGGTTGATAGTCCTTTTAATCTCGATATATATATAATATATATATAATGTTTCCAGTTGTGCATTCAGCAGCTGTCTGCTTCTTAACTTGAAATCAAGCCCAGCATCGGCCACCTTGGCCTGATGGCTCTTTTCAAGTTTTTGGGGCAACAACCTGATTCATTTGCGCAATGTTTGAGAGTCTGAATCCGACCTTTGAGTAGCACATAAAGGTCTCCATGCCCAAAAGTGAGAGGGTCAGGATGAATGACTGTTTCTAGTCTGTTTCATAGCTTTTCTCTCCATCACACTAAAGCTGAGGGGTCATTTCAGGAGGGTCTCTAGTGAGGCCCTCTCCTAGGGCTGCTGTGGGGGGTGTCTCATGATTTCTCTGTTGTAATGAATCCAAGAAAAAACAATCCATTCAGACAACCTAGTGCAGGCCTCCAGGCACCAGGCTGCAGCACACCAGAAAGCAGGCAGCACCTGAAACCACAGCCCCTCCGGTCTGTGGGAATCCTCTCTCCATGGAACCGGTCCCTGGTGCCCCAGTGAAGAAATATGGATTGTGTGGAAACAGCCTGACAGCCTGATAACCCTGTTTTTTATTTTATTTTAATTTTTTCCCCCCAGGCTTGGGCTGATGCCTTTCGAAGCAGCCCTGACCTCACAGGAGTGGTGCACATTTACGAAGAGCTCAAGAGGAAAGGCATAGAGTTTCCCGTTGCGGATTTGGATGCCCTGTCTCCAATACACACCCCACAGAGAGTAAGTTTCTAAGCGTGGGAAATAAGAGCTCCTGCCCAAGGACCCAGGCCCCGAACTGCAAATGAAAGAGGGGGATAAATTGTAGTGTAATGAACCCTAGATTACCACCGGACATTCATTGAGCCGGAAAAGACAGCTGCCTTTTAGAACAACCTTGCAGGATCTGACCCCAGACACTTTTAGCACCCCGTCCGTCTGCCAGGGTGATGGGCTACTAGCTGTTTGGATGGGAGGCTGCATAATCTTTGGGCCTCCAGACCATTTAGGTGACTGTTGAAAACAGAATCTCATACACACACACACACACACATGCAGACACATGCAGACACCTGCCCCTCTGCGTATTTAAATGTGGGCTGGGTCTCTCTTTCATCAACTGCCATTTCCTTTGCTAGAGCGTTCCTGAAATCGACCCAGCTGCCAACATGCACAAGTCCCAGTCTCAGCAAAAGATGAGCTCCAGCACCTCCCCTACGTCCTTCCCGGCTCCTCAGACTCCCCCACTGAATGTGACCGGCCCCATCATAGCAAATACGGAACAGGTAGGGCTCTGGAGGAAGGGCTGGCTCAGGGGTGGGGTGGGTGGGGTGGGGGAGCTGTGGCCCCTTCCCCACACTCCTTCAGGAGACCTGTGTCGGCTTTTACATACAAAAGCACTTTCCTCCTTCCCGGCCTTCCCCTCCCCCCCCCAGATTGCACGATTACGCAGCGAATTGGACGTTGTTCGTGGCAACACCAAGGTGATGTCGGAGATGCTGACAGAAATGATCCCTGGGCAAGAGGATTCCTCAGACCTTGAGTTACTGCAGGTGAATCTATGAGACGGTAGTTTTCCTAGCTCTTCTGCACACGTAATCCTCGACTTACGACTGTTCATTTAGTGACCATTCAAAGTTACAATGGCACCGGAAAAAGTGACTTACGTGAGCATTTTTCACACAACCATTGCAGCCTCCCCAGGGTCACGTGATCAAAATGAAGATGCTTGGCAACTGGCTTGTATTTCGTGTGGCAAACGGGGCAAAATTCACAAGAAATGTCTTGGTTAGCAACAGAAATTTTGGGCTGAGTTATGGTTGTAGGTTGAGGGCTTTTCTGTATTTGTTTTATCTTCCCTGGTTTTGATGGACTCAGACCATTTAATCCGGAACGACATCCAGAGCCCCAGAGTCAGAAGGGGTCATTGGGTTCTTGATGACCGATCTGTTGCTTGGGGAAGGGTCCATGACAGATGGTTTCCCCACCTCTGTTTATAGTCATTTGTGGAACGACACCTCCAGCCCTTCTCTTCCATTCCCCACCCCTCTTGTTCGCCATAAGTCACAGGCAGTCTGGTTTCACCTGTTCCAAATAACCCACGGCAGGAGGGCTCACTTCAACCAGATGTGAATTTTACCTGTCTTCCTGGGATTTAAGTCCATTATTCTGTGCCCGGCCTTCCAGGATGACAGAGAGCAAGCCACTGTCTGTAGGTGCCCCTTTCTAGTGACTTGGATCAAAGAAACTGAGATAAATGTGTGGTTGGTTGTTGCCTCTTAGAAATAGGGCCAAACAATAGACGCCACTAAGGACTGGTGCACAAGACAATTTCCCAATGCAGTACCAGCCGGTTGTGTCAGCCTGTCTCCACTACCTGAGTCCAAACATCCGAAATGCCACCGTCTGGCTCTGAACTGACGAGATTAAAGCTGAACGTTGGCAAACCTAGTCTTCAAGCTGTTGCAGCAGCTGGAGAACCTGAGTGGAGATGGATGCCACTCTCCAAATGTCAGTTCGGCAGAGGAAGCCCAGGCAGCTTCTTTTCCTCCTCCTCAGAGGTTGGATGCTGACACTACTCTGCTGATTTCTCACTCCAGATTCAGGCTAGCTTTTGTTAAAGGTCACCACTCACGGAAAATCAGGTGGGGGAAGTTGGCTTCTCTTGTTGTGGACGTGAGGTCCAGCGGGTAGAGGTGGATCTTCTGAAAAGGCTGGCCCCCTTTTGCTGAGGGAGCCAAAACAGCTGACGAGAGAGGCCAGATGTGGGCCACAGCCTCCCTAAGAGATACCTGGAAGCAAACAGACCTTCAAAAGGCAACAGGACCTCCTCCTGGAGGTGAAAATTCTGGCTCCTGCTTGTGGTGCCACCCCTGCAGTCTGTTTCCTTGCTCTCAGCTGCCTCCCTGTCTCCTCTCCTAGGAGCTGAACCGCACCTGCCGAGCGATGCAGCAACGGATTGTGGAGCTGATCTCCAGGGTGTCCAACGAAGAAGTCACCGAGGAGCTGCTTCATGCCAACGATGATTTGAATAACGTCTTCCTCCGATACGAGAGGTGACGTCTCTTTTTTTTTCCCTTTGAGAAGTTAGATCCTCTGGCAGAAGGGCAGGGCAAGCCAAGGCCCTCCCTCTCTTAAGTGACAGCATTGAGGAGTGGGGTGTCCCTCAGACACCCTTTTAGCGAACTGCAGCCTTTTCTCTATTTCCTGGGCTTCTCCGTTCATCCTCTCCCCTTCCCTCCCAGAAGAGAACCACCAGAAAGGTCAGAGCTGCGTTAAACCACTTCGGTTCTTTCTCGGCTGTTCAGCTGTCGATAATTGATTCCCGGCTGCCTACGCTGATGCCTGGCTGGGTGGGATGTCATGTGTACAGTTGGACGCTAGATGTCCAGAAAGAACCTCCTGGAAAAAGCATCCATGTGGAAAATCATGCATGCTAGCCAGGCATCCAAAAAGAGGAACCGGTTGCTCGTCAGGATATTGCGTTCCAGATGTGGGCCTTGCCCTGCAAAGCAAATCACAAGCATTTGATCTGTTTTGAAGGGGTGTGTTTGTTTGCCTGGAAGCGGATATCAAGTCCAGTTAAGTGCTTAAGCTTGACCAGAGAGAGAGAGAGAGAGAGAAAGAGAGAACCAACCAGCACTCCATGGAGGAACTTCCTGTGGCCCATTTGGGTTACTTTCCATGGGCAACCAGGGAGATGGGGAAAGAATGGCATATGGGTCTTGTAGTGCTCTCCTGGGTGTCTTTCCTGGAATCAACACTTCCTCCACAGTAATTTCTTCTCCCCATTCCTGCTTTTGGATGAAGACCCACACTTCTTCAAAACTGCCCCTTACCCTCCTTTTTAATCTCTTCTTGTCTCCCTGTAGGTTTGAACGTTACAGGCTGGGCCGATCAGCACAGAATTCAAGCAACGGAGTAAGTCCTCCCGCCAGCCTTTCTAAGCAGCGTAACAGTTACTCTCTGTCCTTGAGACCAGAGTGTACTCTTCCCCTAGGAATTGCTAATATTTACCCTGAATATTAAGCATAACTGGTTGGGTCTTTGTTGGCAAAGCAACAGTCGAAGGTCTGCTGGCAGATTAGGAGGAATCTGGCCATTTCAAGCTGATCAGGAAAAGGATAATGTGGAAATACCTATGTTGGAAATTCAGCCTTTGCCTGTTCTTGGAATACCATCGTGCTAATCAGAAAATCAGGATGGTGGCCCAAATGGCTCAATCAAAGTTCTGCCTGTTTTTTCTGTATGTAGTTGCAGGGGTGAAATTTATTTACCTTCCCTATTGGTTCGCCAATGTGCTCACGCACGGCGATGTCTGCGCATGTGCAGAGGCTTAAAATGTTGCAAAAAAGCGAGATGACATCCGCGTGGGTGGGCAGAGCCTCCCGCAGCCGCCGCTACCGGTTCGCCCAAGCTGGATAGAACCGGCTGGATTTCACCCCTGTGTAGTTGGTCATAATTCTTCTCCTGTGTGTTGGGAGAGAAGGCTCAGTCCTGGCAGAATTCTGCCCCTTTTAGCCGAGATGACATGGCCAAGGAAAGAAAGACCGTCCGAAGAGAGATTTAAGAGGGTAGGTGCTTGTATACACACACACCCCCATCCTGGCCGTAACATCCTGGGCTTTTAACAGAGCCGCCTGGTGCTGCCTCTGACTCCTGTGATCCAGCAGGGATGCCGTTCCCCTCGTGTGATCTCTGCTGCTACCCTGTGTGTCCCTGCAGGTTCTCAGCGAGGTGACCGAGGACAACTTAATAGACCTGGGCCCTGGGTCCCCAGCAGTGGTCAGCCCCATGGTGGGAAACACAGCCCCCGCCTCCACCCTTTCCTCTCAGCTTGCTGGGCTCGGTGAGTATTTTAGTTTCCCTTCTGTTTCTCAAAGAGTTGAAGGAAGTCTCAAGAAGCTAGTCCACAGCGAGGGCCTTTGAAACTTGAGAGGTTGCCAAGTATGCTTAGGTAGATGTTTGATGCTGGCAGCTCTCTAGGAGGAAATGCCTAGGAGCCAACACTCTGCATTTAGATACGAGGCCCTTTTTCATTCGTAACAGATTTGTGCACAATAAGTCTCTGTGATAAGACACAACCCTTCATTACCTTGCGCTCAATCGTCAACCATGCTGTGCGCAAATCCGCGTTTGTCCCAGTTGGGCTCTTAGAGTCAAAATTTACGTCCCATATTACACTCAAGCTGTGTCTCATTCAATTGATTTCGGTGGTCCCTTCTCTGGCTCGGAGTCTTCGGCACCGCCAGCGGGTGAGGAGGACTGGATGTGGCACCATCTCCTTCCCAATCTGTCCTTCTCCTGAATCTGATCTTCCTCTTTCCTCACCTCCCCAAAGATGAGTTTTCGATCTGAGCTCACCTTTCAGGAACGTGTGTATGCACCAAAGCTCACCTTGATCAAACGACAGTGCAAAAGCCAAACGGGCCCATCTTCCAAGTCTTATTCTTGCTTTTTGTCCTGTGTGTCTTCTCCGTAGATTTGGGCACAAACAACGTGAGTGGGGCCCTCAGCTCGCTCCCCCCCAGCAATCCCCGGGATGACTTTGACGTGTTTGCACAAACGAGAGGCGGCTCCGTGGCCGATCAGCGTAAAACGTAAGTGGCCCCTGATTCCGCTGCCTCTTTGAAAATGTATTGCTTGTATTCTGCCTTTATCATTTTTACAAATGAAACTCAAGGTGGTGAACAGATCCAGCACACCTTCCTCCTCCTGTTTTCCACACACCTTTCATGCCTAAGGTAGGACTAGAACTCTCCACCTCCTGGTGATTGGCCCACAGTCGCCAGGTGGTTTTCATGGCTAAGGTGGGACTAGAACTCAGAATCTCCTGCTTTCTAGCCAGGCGCCTTAACCACTGGCCAAAACCGGCTCCTGGAACCAAAAGAGCTGCTCAGGCCGATAGTCGTCCTCTGGGCCCCAGGTTCAAATCCTGAGCCAGTAAATGATCAGGCGCCTTCATTTCGTGGCCGCTGTGCTACAGCGAATACATTTTTCCTTTTTTAGATACACAATTGGAGCAGATCTTATCCTGAGGGCTTTGTGAGAGGGAATTTTGATTGCTCCATTAGATGGTATTTCAGACTATTTCTAGGCTACTCGGAGCCAATCCAAATGCCCTGAAAAATCAAAGACGATCAGAAATGCAGCATGAGACCTTTTGACGAGACCTCAGGAACGCCTTGCCCTTGCCAAGCCATTCTTTTGGTGATACGACTGTCCCGGCTTTCAGGGCTGTTAAAAATGGAGCCCTCCTGGCTTTCTGGAGGTTTGCTGGATGAATTACAGCCCCCAGAGACCCCCCAGAGACTCCTCGGTATTTAAGCATGAATGATGCTTTCTCCTCTTTGTTCCATTGGCTCCACCCTGTGGCAGATTTAGAGGAAAGGGGGGGGGATTTTTATCTAATCAGCTCCCTCTGCCTTAATTGGATTGGCCTGGTGGGCTTCTGGGAGACGTGAAATCCCCAGATTTAGGAGGTAGCGAAGTGCGACTTTCTACGTGTGCATATTCAGTTCCCCATAATCCAATCTGCCCCCGCGGGCGGAAGCGTTAAGTGTGCTGGCATCTGGCTGCCCTGGTTGTTTTCCTTCCTTTTTCTTTTTTCTTTTTTGCCAATAAAAATCAGCCCGCTTTGGCTCTCTCTTTCATAGGTTTCCTTTTGCTATTGTTGGTTTCTGGTTATTCCAGCAATTCTTTTCTTTCTTTTTGTCCAGCAGGACAAAGGAGGATCCACAAACGACTAAAGGGATGGCACCTGCCCCGGATATCCGGAAACCAAATTCAGGAGGGGTAAGTCTCTTCTGCTGTATTACCAAAGGGAGGGGTGTGTGTGTGTGTGTGTGTGTGTCACATTCTTAAGCTGAGGACACCAAAGGGCAATGCGTTCCCTTGTGTGCAGTTGTCTGTTTTTGGGGTACCTGGCAGAGCGAGCTGGGGTCATCTCCTTGTTTGGTCGTGGTGGTGGGGCTCAGCAGTCTAGAAGTATTTGGGGACCAGATGTTCAGTGGGTCAGTGGGCAACTCCGGAGGATGGCCCAAAGACCCACCTTCTCTCTCAGCTTCATCTGGATGTTGTGCTTAAAAGGGCCACTGATTTAGTGTGGAGAAATGCGAGGTGCTACTTTGGGACCGGGGAGGGGGGGAGGGAGACTTTCCTTCCCCCCCCCCCTTGTAGTCCAGATTGAGTGCTAAACACGGAGACCTGATTTGTGAACCTCATCTCCCACAGGAGGAGGTTTTCCCCTCCCCTCCCTGGGCTTTTATAGTTTCTCCAGCTGATCACACCCTTCTGGCCTTTGTAGCATCCAAATATCCGTCGATCTCTAATTAATTTTATTTCATCAGAAGAAATGGGCCACCTTTGTGCTTCCCCCAAACATGGTTCAAGGCAGTGTCCCTGGCTCTGTTTTCTTCCTCTGTCCCCATTTTTATCATCACCGTTAAAACGAGAGATTTGCATTTGCCCAATCAACTTTACAGCTTTGAATTTGAATCCAGATCACTCCAGTGGTAATCTGTGATAGGGAACCTTTGCTCCCAATTAAGCCCTGGTTCAGACCACTCGACTTTGGCTGGAGAGAATGAATTGCCCAGGTCTGGAGGGCACCAGGTGGAGGACAAACTGCTTGGTGTGTTGTCAGCTCAAAGGGCCTCCTGGAACAGGGTCAGAGTACTTGAAGGTGTGTCTCTCCCCCCAAGACTTTGCACGCAGGTGACAACCTCCTTATTTTGCTCTCCAGCTGACTTAAAGCTGTTGGCAACCTTTGTACACAGAAACAATCACTGTCCTTTCCATTTTCAGCCGTGATACACTTAGCCATGGGTAAAAAAATTGGTAAAAAACGGCACGACTTCCATAACTGCCTCGCTTAGCAACAGAAATCCTGTTGTAGTCCTAAGTCGAGGTCTACCTGCAGCCTTGGCTGGCCAGTACCCAAAACATGGCTCGTTGAGATAGATGTAGAACTTTTCTGCCCGCTTCAATGCCCTCTTGTCTCAGGAAGTGGGCACGGAGGGACGTTTCTTCTACCCTTGGGCTGTCGATTCTCGGCAGGGCCACCCACAGGTAGAACCAGGTGGGAGGCTGGGATGCCCAAAGTTTTTTCTCCAGGCGCCTGCAGCTGGACGTCCCGCGTCTGCCTTGGGAGGGGGGAACGTGGTTCTTTCTTCTTTTTTTTTCTCACCTATGGTAATGAGGCTTTCTGTTCTCAACACACAGCGGAGAGGTAAAGGTGGGAGTTGCCCCATGGAGCCCATAGACAGGTGGCTCATCTCCCAAGGAATGGTGAGCACCATTTTGCCATCCGGTGACATCCCCTTCCCCCTCCATGTTGCCCTCACTCCTCCTGGTGTCCCTTTCCGCCGGCCTCACCAGCCTCTGTTTACCTGTCACTCAACCTGTTCAAACAGTACCAGCCTGGTGGCAGTAAAAGGAGGGTGCAGGTGGGGAGCCTCATCTGGAGAGATGGAGGGTGGGCCGGTTGGGGAGCTGAATACAGGTATTCCTCGATTTACAACAGTTCGTTTAGTGACAGTTAAAATTTACAACGGCACTGGAAAAAGTGAGTTAGGACCTTTGCAGCATCCTCCATGGTCTGGGGATCAAAATCCAGACGCTCGGCAACTGGTTCATACTTACGACCGTTGCAGCGTCCCGGAGTCACGTCTGTTTCCCCCTTTTGCGACCTTCAAAGTCAACAGAGAAGCCAGATTCACTTAACAACCGAGGCAAGAAAGGTCGTAAAATGGGGCAAAACTCACTTAACAAATCTTTCACTTGACAACAGAAATTTTGAGCTCAATTGTGGTTGTAAGTCAAGGAATACCTGTACTTTTTTCAGATGGGGGGATGGGGGACAGACGGACGGGGACAAAGAGACATAATGTTCGTGCGCTGGCCTTGTTTTCCAATACTTGGATGGATCTCTCCACCGGTTCCTTGTACTGTCATCGTCATCGTCGTCTTCTTCCTTTTTTTTTAAATACCTGCAGTATTGCCTTTTTCCCCTCCCTGGTAAACACAAGTCTTTCGACGTTTGGGGTTTGCAAAAGGTTGAACAAGGCAGCACAAAAGAGCAACCTAAGCTCAGGTGAAAGAGGGTTGACCCATCTCTTCCTCTTCCGCTCTGTTGCCTTCAGATGTTTTGGACTTCAACTCCCATCTTCCTCTGGGCAACCCAGAAGCTCAGCACACCTGGGCAGCCCCAGGTGCATCCATCTTTCTGCTAAGCTTGGGAGGAAGGGGAGAAAAATAACAACACGTCCTGCAAGAGCAGAAAACTGAAAATAGCAGACAGATTATTATTATTATTATTATTATTATTATTATTATTATTATTATTATTATTAAGGAAACCCCTAAATACAGCTAGGCAGGAAAGGGCAGGAGTTAGTGGGACATTACTTAAGTCACCCTGAAGGTATACATGGGATCCCAGCCTTTATTTTCCATCACATCTTTATTGGTTTATCAAAATATAAAATACAAAGAGAATTTTTAAAAAAGTAATAGAAATCGGGGGGGGGGGGGAGAGGAAAAGAAAATGTGATTTTTTTCAGGAGACAAACTCTTAGGAAAACAGTAAAGAGGGGAAGGAATTCGGTTTGGAAAAGTGGGGGCAAACTGTTTAGCGGACAGAGTGACATTTAGGGGGGATTGAACTACTTTGTAAAGAGCTCCCCCCCCCAAGAGAGGATGGAGGCACCTCCTGACATCTTTTGCCTTTTAAATCCCCTGAGCAATTGAGCCGTTCCAGAGCAGATCATCTTGCTGCTTCGATTTCTTGGGGAGATCCTTAAGAGCCCCCTGCATCTTCCTCCCCCTGACTTGAAAATTCCGGTCCCCCTCCCCCGATATTCCAAGCCTCCACACTGCTAGCTTGTGTTTGTTCAGCTTGGAAAAAAGGTTACTGCCCCCTTCGTGGACCCTTTAATAACACCAGTACAGAATCGGAGAGGCCGGTCTGTCCTTCACAAGCTCCTCATCCCTGTTTGTTTTTAACACGGACGTATTTGACCTCCTTATCCAACTAATCCCTAACCATGTTTCCAGAAGCTGTTAACCATGTCTCTTTAGGAGACACATAATAATAAAATGGACCTGCCCAAATGTGCAAGCAGACAGGTGAGAAGGAAGTGCAAGGACACACCAAGAGTCCCTCGCCAAAGGCTGGAAATTTAAAGGATTTAAAGCATGTTGGGTCAGAGTTACCCTGAAGCTCATTCTCTTTTCCAGACAATATTTTTCTACGTGTCTCAGTCTGTCTTGCTAGCCCCATTCGGTTTGGGCACCTCGTAGCCTAGACTCAGCAGCCAAGTGGCTTTGAAGGAGCTTCCTTCCATTTTGACCCTTGACCAGCGCACGAAAGCTGGCCCGAGCCGTGGCTTCACCAGCTGTGACTTGGCACAATACCTGAATCGACAAGCTATGGTTATAGCGGTCGCTCCTGTTCCAGGCAGCCCAGGACTGGAGAAAGGGGAATGTTTGGCAAATGAGAAATAAAAAGCCAGCAATTACGATGTCTGAAACGGCAAGATACAGGTTTGGGGCTAAAGCTGGAGTATAATTTGATTGTTTCGATGAGCGTTTGGTTTCTGTGCAGGCCTGAGCTCGGGGAAATCTCATTATTATGTGTGATTGCGGCAGAAGCAATCTGGTAAGATCCAATAGGTTTCTCTCTTTCCCCACCCCCCGATCTTTGGAGTAGCCCCACGTCTTTGAGCCAAATCATCTTTACCAAGGGGGGAATGAACCGAAGGGTTTTTTAGACCTATATGCACAATGCAGTCTGCTGGAAATGTGAGACAAATGACAAGGTCACAATTGAATGTTGAATTGCTCTTCGGATTGCGCATCAATTTGGGCGAGAAGCCCCCGGCTTGACAAACAGAATTCAGATTAAAATCGGCTGCAATATTGATTTAGACCAGGGGTGTCAAACTCAAGGCCCGGACGCCAGATTCAGCCCACGGATTGCTTAGATCTGGACAGTAAAGGACTGGCCCACCGTGGCTCTGCCAGTGAAAACGGAGCTCTGTTTTTGCTGGCAGAGGATTGCAGGAGGTCATCACAGCCGTAAACGGAGCTCGCAAGCACCGTGGGCGGCCCTCTGGAGCTACATTTTTGCTGGCAGAGGGTTGCAGGAGGCCGTTGCAGCCGAAGACGGAGCTTGAGAGCCCGTTTTTGCTGGCAGAGTGCTCAGCCACCACAGGCGGCCCCAACACAAGTGATGTCGAGTTAGCCACACCCAGCCTCGCCGCACCCAGGCTGGTCCCCCCAAGGCCAAACACAACCCTGATGCGGCCCTCAATGAAACTGAGTTTGGCACTCCTGATTTAGACCATCGCTTGGCGGCCTGATGTTATCCGCCTTCCACTGTCCAGAGAGACTGGGGGGTGGGGGGCAGAAGGAGTGTGCTGTGTGTCTGCGTGTGTGAATGTATGTATTCAGAAGCACCTAAAAACTTGTGTGGACCAGAATTTGGCCAGCAACCACTTCTTTGTGCCCATGAAAGAGGAACAGGGAAGAAAGGAATCTCGGAATTCAGAACTGCCCCACTAAATCCCAAAGGATTTTCGGATGTCCGTACAGCTTGTCCAAGATTGACCCTTATGGACCGAGCTTCCCCCAGTCTGTTTCTCTCACCCAGCCGCACACTTTGGCACCGCTCCCAAGCCCTCACCGGCATCTCTGTCCACCCGCTCCCCTCACAGGGCATCCTTCCTGCTTCCCTATCTTCCGTTATCGGTTAGGAAGCAGGCGGCAGCCCCATTGCTCCCGGTTTAGAGGATGCCCACCCCCTCTCAACCGCCCCCACCCCCCACCATTTCACTCATCATAACCTTTCCTGTGTTGAGTTTTGCTAGCCACATTGCCTCGTTTTCGCACTGCTTCGTTTGTGCGTGTGCTTTTTTTCCGTTCGGTTGCGACCCCCGTGCGATGACGACAATGCACTTTTTTTTTTTAATTTTACGACAGCAATGCATCTTACACAGCCTATATTTGTTTTTTGTTTTTCTTTTTGGTTTCTTCTCTTCTCCCTCTCTTTTGTTCCTTCCTCTCTCTCTCTCTCTCTTTTGTTCCTTCCTCTCTCTCTCTCTCTTTTTTTTTTCCTGTCTCATTCTGGGCCCATATTTCTGGGTGTGTTTTGGTCTTGTTTTTCCGTCTTTGCTGCCCTGCCTAGATTCCTGTCCCACAATCCTCTGTCATGGAGGACATTGAGGAGTGGCTGAGTACTGACGTGGTAAGAGACTCTTTGGTTCTTCTGCTTTGGTCCTCGTTTCCTTTTTTTAAATTTGCCTCCGAGGAGGGCAGGGCGCTGCCAGGGTAGGAGCTCTCCTTTGGCACACGTTTCTAAAACACGGGTCGTGCTCCACTTACAACAGTTCATTTAGTGACTGTTCGAACCTACGATGCCACTGGAAAAAGTCACTTACGGCCATTTTTCTCACGGAACGACTGTTGGTCACGTGATCCAAAGTCAGGTTTTTGGCCCCTGGTTCGTATTTATGACGGCCGCAGTGTCCCAGGTTACTTGATCCGCTTTTGTAGCCTTCCAATAAGCAAAGTCCAATGGGAAAGCCAGATTTATTTAACAATTGTGTGACTGACTTAATTGCAGTGATTCGCTTAGCAACAGTGGCAAGGAAAGTCATAAAATGGGGCAAAACTTACTTAAATATTTCGCCTAGCAACAGAAATGTTGGGCGTAAGTCGAGGTACTCCCTGTACTCCTGGGCGAAGATGTGGGGTGAAAGGAAGGCGGGGAGGGTTGGACCTCTGGCAGAGCTGCAGGTAGAAGCCATCCGATATGGGAACAGAGGTGTGCTGAAGGAGAGGGGAGTATTGGCCAACCCCGAGAAACTTAGAAAGTGTATAAGCAATGTTTCTTAGCCTTGGCAATTCTTAAGGGAAGTGGACTTCAACTCCCAGAATTCCCCAGCCTGCATGGAAGTCTAGAGCAGGGGAGTCCAACCTTGGCATAGCTGGCTGGGGAATTCTGGGAGTTGAAGTCCACTTCCCTTAAGAATTGCCAAGATTAGGAAACACGGGTCTATAGAAATACGTTACAAAATACAGAGCAGAAAAATATCCAAAGGAAGGGGAAAAAGTCCCCCAGAAGGATTTTTGGCTGAGTGTTGGAATGGGGAAATGTCATGCCCGCCCCGAAGGACACGGCTGGCTGGATAGGGCCACCGCCTCCTGCAGGGTAATCCCATGTGTCTATCCATGCACGCTGATCCTTTGCTTTGGATTTCATAAGAGGAGGGTGTTCCCTCCTCCCAGGCTGCGCTTTTGCCCTGAAGGTGGGAATGCCAAGAAGGGTCCTTCGGAAGAGGGAGGCCCCCGTACTCCAAGTAGGACAAGCACTTTCTAACAGCTGCTGCTTCTAAGACTTTTCAGGATAGCGGGTTTGGTGCGGGGTGTGGAGTCAGCCCTTCTTTGCCTTACGGTTAAAGTTGCTGGGCTGCCTCCTCTCCTGCCAGGCACCTCATCATCCCATCTTTTTTGAAGGTGCCTAAACTGGGCACGTTGGGGTAAGCCGACCCCTGAATCTGGAAGGTCCCTTTTGTCCGTTGGAGAATTGATTCTCCTACGTTGGCAAAGCCAAGCAGAGTCAATCCCTGTTTTTCATTCCCGGAAATCTGTGGACCCTTGTCCAGCGACCATATTTTCTTGCTGGTTTTTTTTTTCTTTTCTTTTTAATCCCGGAGTTGGGGCAAGGCGGGGCCCAGTTTTTGGGACCAGCCTCAGTTGGCTCACCTTGCTGGCAACGTACTTGCACTCTCTGCAGTTCTTCTTAAAGGAGGAAGGGTATAAAAATGGTAACCTCTCTTTCTTTTCTTCCCCATTCCCCCCTTCCTTCTTCCTTCAATTCCAGAAAGGAGATGAGCTGGAAGAAGGCGTGACCAGCGAAGGTACGTAAGCAGCCCAGGGATCCAGGTGCTGCCTTAGGTGTTGAAAAGGATGAGCTGCCAGACGATGGGGAGGAGCTGGGAGAGCTGCCCCCAGCAATGGACTGTAGGGACATCCCCCCCCCCCCACCAAACATCCGAGAGAGGGGAGCTAATGAAGCCTAGCAGGGTGGAAAATACGTGGCCCTGCATGGCCTGCTCCTCTAGTTCTGCAAACTGGGTATGTGGGAAATGTAGTCCAGGAAGAAAGATTGGACAACCATTTGTTGGAAATGGTGTGTAGGGTTTCCTGCTTGAACAAGGGTTGGACTAGAAGACCTCCAAGGTCCCTTCCAACGCTGTTATTCTGTTAAAGCTTGCAGCCAGCCAGCCAGCCATTTCTCCTCCGGACAATCACGTTTCGGTCTCCAAGCCCTGCCTTTTCCAGCAGATGGGGTCAAAGCTGACCCCTAGGGCGGTCACCCCCAACCAGGCGCTCTTCAGCCCATTCTGGGGTGGATTTTGACAGGGAAGAGTTGATGGGATGGGTTGTGAAATAGCATTGAGACTCTCAAAGGTGCTTTTTTTGAAGAGGCAGCTGGACTTCCCGGTTTTTCTTTGAAGATGTTTCATTTCTCATCCGAGACGCTTCTTCTTCTTCTTCTTCAGAGCTGAAAAAGCTTTTTGCAAAATGTCTTCAAAGAAAAACCGGAAAGTCCAGCTGCCTCTTCAAAAAGCACCTTGACCTGGAGGGCTGAGAACCTCCATAGACATTTAGCGCTGGGACCGTTTCTCTCTGAGCCTTCAGCTCTTCTGTTTTTTTGTTTTGTTTTAAACCTTGCAGAATTCGACCGGTTCCTGGAGGAGCGTGCCAAAGCCGCGGAAAGGATCCCCAATCTGCCCTCCCCTCCTCAGGAGGAGCCCACACCGCCACCAGCGAATCCGCCTAGCAAAAGGAAGCCAGAGCGGTCCGAGGACGCCCTCTTCGCTCTGTAACGGTCCTTCTCCTTTCCCCCGCCACCCCACCTGCACAGGAGGAGGAGGCGGTGGCAGCCCATGCCAAGAGCAACCTGGCTAGCGATGGGCCCCTTCCCGTCCCCGGTGGCCCCAGAAGAGGTTGCTCTTTTCTCTCCTCCTCTGGGGCTCGGCCCCATTTCCTTAACCTTGGGAGTGGGTTCTACCACTCGGATAGGGGTGGTTTCTCACTTCACTCCCTCTCACACCTCTGCCCCTTTGATGATGCTGAGATTTTTTTTTTTTTTTTTAAAGTGAGAGATCTGCATGACTACTTGCACAGACTCCGTTCCCCCTCACTTTCCAGCCCTCCCCTCTCCCTCCCCCCCCTTCCCTTGCTTATGCACAATAGCCATGCATTCAGTCCTTGGCTTGGCTCGAGTTAGGGCGACTCCAAAGCCCGGCCTGCGGTCCCTTCCTCTCGACCGCCTGCAAAAATCAAACCTGACCTTCCAGCATCATCATCGCCACTGCTCCCTTCTCCTCCCTTAGCTCTGCCTGGGGGGGGTTACTATAGTAAAGCTATCACGGGAAGGAGGTTTGCTTGTGCGAAGGCAGCTTTCTTTAGCCAAGATACCTGCGCAGGTTCTGCGGGTTACGAAGGAGCCTCTCTCTCTGCAGGCCCCGGAGCGAACCGGCTGCACGTCTTTTCTCCCCTCGACCCCCCCCCTCCCTCTCTAAGTAGGTCAGAAATTCAGTCCCACCTGTGAGGGGGACAGGCCAGGGTGCCCCTCCCTCCCTCCCTCCATCTTTACAAGAACGGTATTGATAAGGGAAAGTCAGCCACAGAAAGGGACGAGATTGCACTTTGCACTGGAAATGTTAACCCCGCGCGACAGTTGCGTCTGGCGGTATGAAACACTGTGTGTGTGTGTGTATGTGTGTGTGTGTGTGTGTGTTAGAACCTTATTTGCATTTTAAAGCACTAAATGGACTATATTATCGGGCAGGACTCTTCTAAACACTAACGAAAGGGTGGAAAGCAGTGGGGGGGGGAACAGCCCTGTTGGAATGAGTGGGGGCTTCTGCCTTGCTCTGACTCCAGCATTTTAGCACTGCCTGCCGAGTGGGGGGTTGGGGAGGGGGGCTTCACCATTACCTCTCCCCCCACCCTGCACCCTCTTGCTTTCTTCCCCTGTCTCTCTCAGTAAGTTCTCCTGCAGCCTTTTTGTTCAATGCTGCCATGTCAACCAGAAAAGAGACCCAATTCTTTTTAGAAAAAAACTCATCCCACTTCAGGGAGAGATTGTAGCCTTCTCCCTCCCCCCCCAAGCTTTATTTTAAGAAAAGGGAAAATGTTTCAAGAGGACCCATTCCCACAGGTCAGAGGCCATCGGAAAATCTTTTAAGAGGATGCAAAAATAACTGGGTGCTGGTGGAATTAAGTTGTATTAAGATACGTTGGCTCAAAGCAAAAGGAGCATCCTGGCCTCCTTTCACCCATCCAGGTTGGGCACTGTAGGCTGCAGCTCTGCTTGTACCCCAGGAGAGGAAGTGACCCTTCTGTGCTCCTGGGCAGAGAACCTGGTAGGTTGCCACCTGGCAGGGCCACTGCCAGCCTGGGAAAGAGGCTGCATTTTCTTGCCTCTGATGCGACCTTTGTCCCGAGATTTCCCCACGGCCAGCCGTCGCTTGGCACAGAACCTCGAGTCCTCGGTCAGCACTGGATGTTTCTGGGTGATCCTGATAACCCATCAGGGGCCTGCAGGAAAAGCAGCTGGAGCCTCCCTTCCCCTCCTTGGCCAGTTAATCTGCAGCCCTTAGAGAGGCTCCAGCCCCTCGTCCTGGCACCCAAACCTTTCGCCCTTTAACCAAGAAGCCACCCCAAGAAACCAGCTCCCCCCCACTCAATCTTTGCTCTCCTCCAGAGCATCGGGTTTCCCATTGCTTTGCCCTTAGCCAGTCTCTGTTTCTCCCCCACTGACTACCCAACCGCTAACTGTTCAGGATCTCGTTCCCTTTCCCCGAAACCCGTTTCATAGCCTCGCCATCTGTATATTTAAAGCTACAACTTCTTTTCTAGTTGTCCCGATTTTAAAAACGGATAATATTTATTGACAAATACTCAAAACGTTTTGTTTTATTCAAGGGAGACCGCCTGACGGGCGGACGAATGGAATTTATTGCTTGAAGGGAAACGTAAAAGGTTAACAGTGTAAAAACGATACTAGTGATAGTGTTAACAACACTGAAACCAATTTAAAACTATCTTGGCTTCTCTCTTTCTTCTACTAGTGACAATATACCCGAGAGAGAGCAAAGACACCTGGAGTTTGTTTGTTTTTTTGCATAAGGCTGTATTAACCGATGTCACTTAACTCTCCTTTTGGATGTCTCTGTGTCTCTGTACATATTTATATATATATTGTTTCTGCATGTCAAAACCGTCCCAATAAACAAAAAATAGTGCAATCTTAGAGAGCAACGGCCACCGACTCTCTCTCTCTCTCTCTCTCTCTCTCTCTCTCCCATGGTGGGTTGGGCACAAACACCAGGAGAAAGGTTGCACCTGAAAGGATTCGATTCAGGTAGTCCTCGACTTACAACAGTTCATTTACTGACCATTCAAAGTTACGACGGCCCTGAAGAAAAGTGTCTTATGGCCATTTTCACAGTTACGACCTTCGCAGCCTCTCTAAGGTCACGTGATCTAAATTTAGAGGCTTGGCAACCGGTTCCCATTTATGACGGTCGCAGTGTCCCGGGGTCACGTCATCCCCTTTTGCGACCTTCTGACAAGCAAAATCAATCTGGGAAATCCAGATTGGCTTAACAGCCAGGTAGCTAACTTATGCACTGCGCCGATTCACTTAATGACTGAGGCAAGAAAGGTCGTAAAACGGGGTGAAAACTCACTCTAACAAATGTCTCATTTAACAACAGAAATGTTGGGCTCGATTGTGGTCGTAAATTGAGGACTGCCTGCACTTTATTATTATTTTTTCCCTGTCCACTTTAACTTTTTAGAGTTTTTGCCCCAGTCTTTGAGGGCCGAGCGAATCTTGTAATCGTATCGGGGTCTCTGCAAATGCTTCCCCATCCAGAACGCTCTGGCCCATCATGGGTATCACCAACGCTACCCAAACGGCAGAAAGCAACGCCCCAGGTTCTCTATTTAACACGGGGTTTCCCAGCCTTGGCCGCTTTTAAGGCGAGCGGACTTCAACTCCCAGAATTCCAAGCCTGGGGAATTCTGGGAGTTGAAGTCCACCCATCTTAAAGCGGCCAAGTGTGAGAGACTCTGAGATGGAGAGATGCCGGGTGGTTTTGCTGTTATTTGAAAGAGCACAACGACAAGGGACCCGAAGGGAGCAGATGGAACCTGCCCGCAAAGCCCTCCTGAAAACAAAGCTGGGAAGAGCCGCTCCTCCCAGCGCTCGTGCCCGCCAGCACATAGTGTGCCTGGCATCTTTGTGGGTTACACCTTTCTAGTAAAACACAATGCCAGCTTCTGTTGAGCAGAGAAACAGGCGGTGCAGGAAAACGCTGGAAAAGAGCGGGACCGATTCTCGAAGCCCAGCCGAACTTTCTCGCCCTGCCAGAGGCAATAAAGGGACGCAGGCAGGGACAAACAGGGATAGTGTGTTATCACAATCACCAGTCCTGAGTCGGGTCGGGCTTTTCCCCTCCTGGCACGTTTTAAGCCCAGCAGAGATGCGCTGGAGAACTTTCCTTTTCCCATTCTCACAGCCCTGGGTTTATGTGCCGCAGAAAACCGCACCGGTTGAATTTCTGGGAAAGGAGCAGAGTCCAGAGAGCAGCACCTTCCCCCTTTGCCAAGACAGCCTACCAACTAGAAGTCAATGGCCGGCGACCTCACGGGCATCCAAAACAGAGATGGCAAGAGACCATCAACAAAGACATGCAAGCCATTGGCCTGCGCCCTGGAGACGCAGCTGATTGTGCAAAGTGGCATTCCATGATCCAAACAGCGGACCCTGCACCTGTGGGAATACGCTAGGAAGATGATTTCCAATTATTTCCAATTATGCCCAGTCAATTCGGTGCTTTTGCAGTTCAGTCTCTCGTTCGAGCAGAGCAGGTCTTGGTGGGCGCAGGGCGGCTAGCCCCCCCCCCCGGGGATTCTGGGGTCTTGCAACCCCCGGATGATCCTTGCAAGTCCTGCATTTGGGCAGCTGCTTCGGTTGCAAAGCTGGCACTAGCAAACGTGGGTTCTTCACCTTCCAAGTCCAGCCAATTATCCATCCTGGCTGCCGGAGTGTGTGGGGAAGATGGGAGCTGTAGTTCCAATTTATCTAGAGGGCACCAGCTGGGAAAAGCTTAGTACAGTGGAGCAGGTAGTAAGGGAAACCTTCTGCCCATGCTCAGAGGCTATGTTGCAAACTTTGCACAGGTGCTCCTGCCCCCCACTCCCCCACCACCTCGAGAAATGGGGAACCCGAAACTTGAATCCGATTCTGTTCCTGCTAACCGGACAACCCGCTTCCCAGTTTCCTTCCTGCAAAAGACCATTAAAAAAAAAAAAAAAAGCATGGTCCGTTTAAATATTGGCCCCGCCCTCTAAGGTCACGTCATCATTGGTGGGCAGGTCCTCGAGTTCTCCACGTGGAGGAGGGGGATCCCCGCCCCCATGATGTAATCCTCGAGCCTGAGCCGTGACGCGAAATCACTCCACTGCGGAGCCGAGCGCTGATTGGCTGAGCCGGCTGGTACTACGAGGGTGTTTCCCCGCGGTTCAACCAAGCTTTCCCGCGGGGGGCAGCTCTGTTTTGGTTCCTGCCGATTGGCTGCTTGCCTTGGGGCCCCGCCCAGGCGCGGGTGGACAAGGATTAACCCTTTCATCTCTTGATAGGAGCTGTAGGTTTCCCATCTGAGCTGCCACAGGAGGGGACAACAACCCTGCAAGGTTGTCAAATAAAGTTACATGGGGTTTTTCCCTCCCAAATTGAGGACAAATTTATGGAGACAATTATGAAAGTCTAGCAATGGCTCAGGAAATGGAACCTCTTACTTACTTACTTATTAAATTTATTTGCCACCCATCTCATCACAGGGTTAGAAATGGATAGCATTTAATTCCTGATGCCAGACTCAGCATTTTATTCATTTATATCCCAATATTTGGACACTTCCACCATTGCATATCTCTGGGCAATCTGCAGACCTAAGCCCCCAAATTGGAAAACCACATCTTTGCTTTAATATGGCCATCAATCACGATCACCTCTTAAGAACAGCATAGGTAGACTTTCTCCAGGGTAATCAATCCCAAACTAGATTCTGAACTCATCAAGAAGCAATTACTGGCTGCTCCATTTGATCGATTGGCCAATCAGTTGTTTTTGACTCCTAGCTGTCACAGAAGCGTCTGTCCCTAGACTGGTCCTTCAGGTCTTCCAACAAGGCCTCCATTGCAACTGAGTTCCTCCACCTGGCTGCTAGTTGACTTTTCCTTCCACCTTTCCCACCATCGACTTCTCCGGAGAGATGGGTCTTCTGTTGATGGATCAACAATATGGCATCGAGTTATTGTTGATCCTTAGCCACAACAGAGTTTTTCCCAGGAGGATCTTCCCCAATGTGATCCTTCAGGTCTTCCAATAATGGATCCATCATCACTGCAACTATCCGCCTGACTGTGGGTTGTCTTCTTCTCTTTCCTTCCACCTTCCCCACCATCAGAACCTGGGTCTTCACATAATATGTCCAGAGTAGGATCCTTTGTGGTCATTTTGTTCCTCCAAGTGAGTTGATTAATTAGATGACCCCCGGGTTGTTCCCTTGGCCACCCATGACTTTCTCAAGAATTTTTTCCAACACCGTCATTCAGAAGCATTAATACGCTTCCTATGTTGCTCCTTCAAAAGTCAACTTTAGATTCCATAGAGACAAGAACTTAGAATAACTTTATTGTCACTTTGGATGTACACTAATCAGCATACATTAAAATGAACGTTTGTTGCATACAGTTCTCAAAGGGTCACCACATGCAGTATACACTACATAAACATGACAAAATAAATTAAAAAGTATGCACATATCCACATATATGACACAGAGAAACAACAGTCCAGTTCAGATGTATACATGCACCAGTCAGCCTATCAAAGCAATCAACACATCTGGTGGCAGCGAGTTCCATGGGTTTAATCTTCAGTTTATTCTGTACTTGCAAGAGAACCATTTCCCCAAACTTCCTTTGCTAACGTTGTGATGTACTTTTGTAACTTTATTGATCTGCATTGAGATGAATGTTCAAGCTTCTTTGATTTTGGGGTGCCTTTCTTGGAACGATCCAAGGCAGAGCTGGTCTTGTTTACAGATTCAGTGGCTGGCTTCTCTCGAACCCTTGCATTGGGGTTTTGTGTTGTCTGTCCTGTTCCACCATTTCTATTGCAATATTGTGGTGCTCCCTCTCAGTCTGATAGCCAAAAATTCCATTCGTAAATATTAAGATTCCTTTCCTCACTTTCAAAACTGCTATAAAAGCTATAATCCGCTTTCTGGAAAATCTCTTTGAATCCGTTGAGAGTATTTGCAGCAAAGAAATCACATGAAGGAATCTATTACACAATTTCTTGCCAGCTCACCCTATTTCCCAAAAGATGGAAACTTATCAAACCATCAGACCCAACCCAAAATTAAGGAGAAACTTTCTGTCCGTGAGAGCAATTAACCGATGGAACGGCTTGTCTCCAGAAGTTGTGGCTTCTCCATCACTGGAGGTTTTAAAGAAGAGACTGGACTGTCGTTTGTCCAGGATGGTATAGGGCCATGATGGCAAACCTATAGTATGCGGGCCACAAGTGGCACACGGAGCCATATCTGAGACACATGAGCATTGCCCTAGCTCAGCTCCAGCCTGCATGTGTGAGCCGGTCAGCTGATTTTTGGGCCTTCCGGACCCACCTGAAGTCAGGAAACGGGCCATTTCCGGCCTCCGAAGGGCCTCTGGGTGGGTGGGGAGGGCCGTTTTCACCCTCCCCAGGCTCCAAGAAAGCCTCTGGTGCCTGGGGAAGGTGAAAAACAGGCCTACTGGTAACCTTTTTGCCGTCGCGTGCCAAAAGTGAATTATGGGTGTGGGCACATGCACGCACAAACCCTCCCCCCGCTCCCTTTTGGCACGCGACGGCAAAAAGGTTGGCCATCACTGGTATAGGGTCTCCTGCTTGGGCAATGGGCTGGACTAGTCACTAGAAGACCTCCAAGATCCCTTCCAACTCTGTTCTTTTGCATTCTGGTGTTGCGATGCCTGTTGCATAACTTCATGTTTGTGGTAGTTCTTAACCCTAGGCGGGTGGAGATTCGTTCTCCGAGCTTGTGGTTTCCTAACGTTTCATTCCCAGGCTGGGTAACGTCTTCAGCAGAATTTAGGGGATGTCATTGTCGGTGTCCTTTTATAAGGGCTTTGTGTGGTCTCGCGATGGTATCAAAATGTCCGGAAACCAACCCACAA